AGTTTTTTTCAAATTGAATTAATTAGTTGTTGTTTTTTTTTTGCAGTTGCTTAACACCTAATCGTTGTTATAAAACAAACGCTGTTGTTTTTCGGCTCAAATGTATCATTAGGGGATTCCCCTATTTCCGCTCATGAAGAATCCGAATGTCGAGAAAATAGTTTTTCCCTCGTTTTCCCTTTTTTTTTGCCCCTCTCTGTTTCCCTTCTCTTTTTCGCATTACGAATGACAGCCGCCTGTCACATACACACACACACGTGCAGGGAGAAAGTACACACAGATACACACACACACACAGACACGTGTAGGAGTCGTGCTATACATGGCCATTAGTGTTGTGTTGTTGTCGTTATCATGCAAAAGAAAAAGTTGTCTCTGCTTAACTTTACGCCGCCTTACTCCACTTTCCTTCTGCCGAGGTCCTTTGAAGCCCCACCCCTCATAACACCCCATTTCCATCTATCTATCTTGGCTGGGTTTTCCCCCTTACCACCCCCCCCCCTAGTTTTCTACACGGAAAACTCTGTCGAACTAGGGGATTAGGTGCTTTTAAAATGTATTTAGAGCATTTAAATATTTTTAACCGTTTTAAATCGTTACTTTTGGTGCCTAAAATTATGCAATGCGTTATTCATTTATATAATTAATATAAAAAATATTATATATAATATATTTATTTAAAATTTAAAAATTATGCTTTCTTGTGTGACTAGTGTTTAAATTATAATAGATTAATTAAATAAAAAAATAAATTCAAATTAAATGAAATTAAAAATTAATGAAATTACAAATTAAATGAAATTAAAAATTAAAATAAATCAAACTCTCACTATCTACACTCAAAATTCTTCTTATTAAATTTTCCAAAATGTAAATTTCTCTCCGTGTATAGGGGGGCACTAGTGTTGGTCAGAATTTTCGGTTGGGAAAACTTTAGTTGGTCAGGCAAGTGAATTACCAGCTCAGCCCTTAACCCTCGACTCGCACCTCGTTTGTCTGTGTGCGCACCCCCACCCGGCATTCCGCCTGCTAGTTGTTATTTAATTATAATTTTTCATTCTGGTTTCGGGTGTGGAAAATGTTGTCATCGCACATGTTTGCATTGGATCGAGGTTAAGAGGTGGCTCAGGGTCCTTTGTCTGGGAGTATTTCGGGAAATCTTTGGTGTTAGCCGCGCCCAGTATGCAAATGCAATTATAATTTCATATTTCAAATCGATGACAGTGTGGAACATAATGGGTAAAGTCGACATATAGGGGGTAATGGGAAATTTATAAAGGCTAAGAATTCAAGGTAGAGTTTTTCAAATAATTGAACATTATTAATATTATTTATATTTTTAATTTATTATTTATTTATTAGTTATTTTGTATATATTTATTATTAATTTATTTTTTATTTATTTATTTATTTATTTTTTTTTTTTAATTTATTTATTTATTGATTTATTGATTTATTTATTTATTTATTGATTTATTGATTTATTGATTTATTTATTTATTTATTTATTTATTTATTTATTTATTTATTTATTTATTTATTTATTTATTTATTTATTTATTTATTTATTTATTTATTTATTCATTTATTTATTTATTTATTTATTTATTTATTTATTTATTTACTTATTGATTTATTGATTTATTGATTTATTGATTTATTGATTTATTTATTTATTGATTTATTGATTTATTTATTAATTATTTATTATTTATTAATTTTTTATTTATATATTATTTATTTATTGTTAATTTATTATTTATTTATTTATTATTAATAACAAATATTTAACCAACCTTTTCCCTACTATTTTCCTATTTTCAGTTTCCTTCGTTTGTGCTCCTTACTTTGTCGACTAGCATTTCCCTTTGGTTCTTCATTATTCTTAGCTTTTCCCCACTTTCTTTTAATCACCTTGTATCACATTGGCGTCTTAATCTCGTCATTTTTCAATTTCCCCCTTTTGGCCACATTTTCGTTTAGCATTCACTTCCTTTTAATCGATTTTTGTATCTTCTTTAACTTTTTTTCCAATCGTTTCTGTTCTTTAGGGTTTTTTGTATCCCCCTCTTTTCTTTTCATTTTCCTTACTTTGATTTTCTGTGTCTCCTTTTATTTTGTTATGATATTTTCTCAGCTTCGACCTTAATACATTTTCCAATCTAATTGCCTTTCAATCGTATCCCACAAATGGATCTCTTACGGCTGACTCTTTCGGATTTCATTTTCTGCACATATCATTATGCAAATTGACAAAACCGTGAAGGAGCAACGACAAACGTAAACAAATTCCAAATAAACAGCCGGAAAAGGAAGGCATTTCGTTGAAGAGAAACCTATACCAAAGGTCCCTCTGCTTCACTTAACCCTCATTACATATGTCTCTTTACTTAAAATACCAAGAAAATAAGGTAAAAATAGAGAAAGACTAAATGTTTTTGTATTCGTAGAACAAATATTTAAATAACAAAAAGAAATGTCCATAAGAATACTTTGTTTTCTTTTGTATACAAAGATTTTTAAAAGCAAGGGAAAATGATAGTTTTCCATTGTAAACAAGTTGAAAAACTACAGTTGACAGTTACTGTATTTAAAAATGATTAAAATCAATTGTTATTATTATCTTTTAATTTTGAAAATCAATTAAAAAGGTATTTAGACAGCTTTTTAGTTTATTGACCAACTAAAAATAACAACTTTAATTGGGTAATAAATTATTTGTGTAAATTTGCGAATTCCAATGAGTCGAAACATTTTGTAGCACCTTTACCATTTACAACAACGTTTTTCCAATGAAACGAAACATTTTGTAGCATACTTTTGGGCACAAAAACCATTTACAACAACATTTTTGTTTAAAAGAAATAAATAAAGTAAACTACGTTACAAATTTTCTGTTCATAATTTTAATAACTCTGCTAAAGCTCACTTCAAATATTACAAAAAAAACCTTATTGAATATCGATATTTGCGTTAACCTTTTCAATCGTTAAAAAAATTCTACCCCGCACCCAATTTTCTCCCTTTTTCCGGGACTTTCCCAATGCGTGGCGAACATTTTAATGAGATTTTCAAATTCCAAAGAAATTCAAAACGTAGCTTATTCAACTTTTTCTATATATGTGTGTCCCACTCGCACTTTCCGTCGGCAGCTGTGTGTGTGTGTGTGTAAGGATATGTCTTTGTCTGTATTTGTGGCAACAGGCAACAAGCCAAGTTAATTAGCAAAAAGCAGATAACGTCACACAAAAAAGGAGCAACCAACTAAGGCCATCTTAAGGTCTGATTGAGCAGCGAAAAGGGGGGTGGTGATAGCGGGCGACGAAGGGGGTGAAAGTGGGCTAAAATGAAGGCCAAAAGTACGGAAGGGGAATGGCGCCTTTGGATTCTGTGGAGACCTCCACTTAAGTGCGGGTTTTTGATGTCGGCGCAAATTGCAAAGAAAATGATTTATTATCTGCAAAAGGCAATTAAGTAAAATTGCTTGAAAATTATTTGCCCACCCCCCCATTCCCCTTTTCCCTCACCAAAAAAATAATACAAAAAGAAAAACCCAATCCCGAAACAGAAGCAAAACCAAAATAAACGCAAATGAAAGCAACTCTTTTCAGGGGGAAAAAAGAAAAATGGGGTTAGTTAAGCGCTTTAAATGATTTTAAATTGTTTTGTAATTGTTGGAAATATTTTATTATGATATATAAACAATTTACTATATTTTAATTTAATTTTTGTTTTTAAATATATCATTATCAGCAAAATTTTAATGTTAATTTTTTGGTAATATTTTCACCTGCTAAATCCTTTGTGGAAATTATGACCAAACAAAGTGCCAATTGAGCAGAAAGTTTTTCGGGTTTTACTGGCTTTTCTGTCTCCGGATGTTGTAAAACTATTTTACATTCGTTAAAAAGTTAACGATTCAGCCACCAACCGAGATAAAAGTTGAAGAGAATAATGGTATGTAATTTCATTGAAAATTATATTATATTCAAGCGAAATTTTTGAAGTTAAAATTCAATTTTTAACTCTATTAAATAAAAAAGATTTTAGTTTTAAAAATAGATAAAGAGAAATCTAGAGAAATTGATTTATAAACAATTAATTCTGGTTATTAAATATTTTAATTAATTTATTTCTGATTTTTTACTTTACTTTTGCCTTTTGAAAACACCTTTCCCCGAGGTCCCCTATCCCGTAATTCCTTCGCTCATCCAACATGATTTATAAGTCGAATAAGAATTAGATGGAAGAACAAGAGCGAATTAATTACGAATTCAAGCCCGAAGAGGTAATTAATTCACTTCATTTTACACCACCTCCCCCCGCCCACCGCCGCACGGTTGGAAAGTTGACGGAAAACCAAACTCGACTTGACTCGACGCGACTCGATGCCAGTCAACCATTTTGTTGACAGACAAACAAAAGTGCTGGCTAAATAAGCAAACATGTGCGCGCAGGCACATACACGAATAGACATTGTATACATTACGCCAAGGATATTTCAAATATTTCTTTTGAGATTTTGCAAAGTCGAAAATAACTTATAATTGCTAATGGTTTTTAAGTTGATCAAATATGTGCATAAGTAAGAAATTTTTGATTGCTTTTTAAAAATGTTTTATAATAAAAAAGGATTTTAGGGATTTAAATAAGAAATAATATTTGGGAAACCTAAAAATAAAGGTAGATAATGTCGCTAAGAATTTTGTCGTTTGAATTTTACAAAATGTTATAAAATAGTATATGTATTATTTATTTATTTACTATTTATTATTATCATTATCATTTATTTATCAAATTGGAACATTTGAAATTCCCAAGCACCAAAGAAAACTTTCGAAATAATTTGTTTATTCAGGGACACCCACATTCGCAGATTAATTCAGACTTTGCTGTCCAAATATAACCACACATCCCAGAGTTTGTTGGCTCTTTTTATTTGTATTTTTTTGTTTTTGAAGGAATTTGTCTTATTTACATTTGTCAAGCACTCCACTCACCTTTGACTGCGGTGTTTTCACTCTCTCTTTCTCGTTTCCTTGTTGGCTCTCGCTTCCTAATCCTCCTCTGATTTGCTTTGACAGCCGCAGAAAACAACAACAGATGCGATTCGAATTCGAATTCCGAATACTCGGCACACACACTTTCACTTTAGCTGTCGTTTTTTTCCTTAATTTCTTTTTTCAAAACTTTTGGCTCAGAGAAACTCTTGGCCAAAACATCTTTCTTTGCTCTTGCGAGAAATATTCAAATTTCTTAGCTTAGCTTAGCACAGAAACCAAAAAAAAAAAAGTATGGGATCGCTTGCAGCACTTTCGAAAAATTTCCAAATAATTTTTTAAAAACGGTGCGCGGGGACTGCGACTGCGCCTTTAAACTGTGACTGCTGATGCTGTGACTTCCGGACTTTAACTGTGACTGAGTCTGAGAATTGTCCTGCTGAGGCTGAGGCTGAGTACCGAACCGCACGAGAGTCTGTTGACGAATGAGTTTGAATCGCGCGACCGTTCGAGTTGCTAACAGCGACAGGACAACAAGTTGTTATGCCATTAACATGGCTGTTACACATCCTGCAAAGCTAACAGAGCCTGAAAAAAGCTCCAGGACGAAAAAGTTTAGCCGGTGTAACCGCCACAATTTGGCTTTCGGGAATTTCCATTCATGGAAAACTTTAAATTTTACATTTTAAAATAAATTAAATTCATTTTAGCGAGATCATACTGTCTCTTAAAAGTAAAGCGCCCGCTTGGCGCAAAACTTAATTGGAATTAGCTTCTTAAAATATATTTTCAAGATCTGCAGAAACCGACCCCAGAATTACCCATATCCCAGAGATAAACACAGTTTATGTATATTTTTTTCATCTTTTATTTTCCGTTTTTTTTCTCTTTTGTATGAAAACATCTCCTTATATTCACCTGTCGACTTCCTGCGACTTCTATCTAAAAAAAAAAAACACTGACTCTTTAACATATTTTTGTTTTCTTCCAAAAAACAGAAAAAGAATGACAGTCTAAGATCGGAAATGGATGCGGGGGAGTAGAACGCAAAATAAAACGCAAAAGTTAATCAATTGATTTGTAATAATAGGACTAATTAATTTATCGTACAATTGGAAGGTTTTGTTGTCTCAATCAATCAATGTCTCTCTTCCATTTTTCGCCTGGCTTCATTCTATCTTCTGCAGTCATTCTTCTAAGCTTTTTCATGTGTCTTCAACAAACGAAGACGATTCTCAAGAAATTTAATTATAGGTTATATTTTTTAAAGGTTTTCTTGTTTTCTTTTTTGTTTTTTGTGGAGTATGTGCAGAGTTTGGGCATTTGGAAAATTGAAATTTCTAAAACAAAACTGTGGAAACATTTGTTTGTTGGTTTAAAGACTAACAATCTCGCGATAAACGAATAAAAAAATAATGGATAGGTGTATCTCTAGAGATGATCGAACATGACATCGTACATAACTAATTAATTACGAAACTGTGTATGCTGCTCCCTCCTACAGGATGAAAAATGGTGGTTTATTGCTGCTCCAGCTTCAGCTGGTGTTGTTGCTGCCGCTGTTGTTAGTGCTCTTGTTGTTGTTGTTGTTGGGGATATGCAGTCTTGAGCGGATCGATTGATTTAATCATCGCCAGCTGATCGCTTGACCTTGCGCTGCTTGGGGCTCTGCTGGCTGGCGGCCTTGGGACTAGCCTGCTTGCCGGGCTTCGGCGAAGTCTTGGGCGTCTTAGACTTGGGCGGGGATTTCTCTGCAATTAAAAAAAAATATATATATATAATATTAGCTTTAATTCAAGGGAAATCATTTTCCATTGCTTACGCAGCGCTCGCAGCGTCTCCTGTGGCACCCAGTCGTAGTCGATGGTGCTGTCGTTGGCGGTACCGGTCTCGATCACCTTCTTGGCGGCGGCACGCTTGCGCTTGCCAGAGCTGCCCAGCAGATACTGCTGGCCGATGACCAGGAGCAGGACGACAATGCCGGCCAGCAGGACGTACAGGAAGAAGGTCTCGCCATCGAGTCCCTCATCGACCTCCGAAATCAGAACAGTTTCGTTGAAGACAGCCTCGTTGTACTGAATGCCATTGGCATCGCGGTAGGCCAGAGCAATGTTCAGTCCAAAGGGACGGCCGGCGAACTGATCCGAGGGCAGGAAGGTGTACGAAACGGTCGACTCGAAGCCGGGCTTCACCTCACGGTTGTAGGCCACAGCCGAGAAGTTCTGAATGAAGTAGTTGAAGTCCATTGGGTAGCGGAACGAGGCCTCCACGGTCTCGATCACAAACTCTTCGGCGCCCTTGTTCGTGAATCCGATGAGGAACTCCACGGGCTTGCCACCGGGCAGATCCAGCTGCTGGCCAGGCGTGTACAGGGGTTTCGTGAATAACAGATAGGTGTCCGCATTCGGAGAGCTGCTGCTACCCGAATCGTTGTCCTCGTCCGCCTCCGCATCCTCACCAGTCACCGCACCCTCCTCACTGTCCACATCCACCAGATCATCCTCAGCCGCCGCCTCGGCAGCAAAGGCACCAAACTTGGTTGCTGTAAAAAGAGAAGGGAATTTGATTAAAGATGGTTCTGTTTTTGGAAAGGTGTAAATGGAGTGGTCAGAAATCAGATTAGTCTGAAACTTGGCAGCTTTATTTGCTGATATAGTAAAGTAACAGGTACCAAAAATTGATTAAGAAGTCTCATAAATCAACAAAATAATTGATAAAATATCATATTAAAGGAAATAGTCTCAGAGAATCTTTTAAACTTTGTTTCAAACATTTTCAAGTACAATATTTAAACAGGTGAGAATGAGGTTTGTATACAAAAAACAACAAATATTTGCTTATCTACAGAGATTATTTGCTTGGAAACTATTTTATATATTATTATTTATAATTTTAAATATGGAAAAATATCGGAAAAATATCTCAAAAACAGAATTTCCTGAGAAATCCATAAGATATAGTAAACCGATTTGAGTGAAACATTATTTTGTAAACTTAAAACACTTGATCTTGAAAATGAACACATATATTTGCATATAACCCAGTTAATTTCCAGGGCAGCTACAAGATATAGTAATCCGATTTTAGTGAAACTTGGTAATATTACTGGAAAACCGAAGAGTGGCCATTGTGGAGAGTTTGAAGACTTGATCTTGAGGAACAACCAAGATATAGCCATTCGAAGCCGCCGAAAGGCATGAGTAAGAGCGAGAGGGCTATAGAAGGTCGGCGTGCCAACTCAACAGTTTTCAAGTGTCGCCGCGAAAATCCGTGGAAAACGTTGAATGAAAATGTCCAAAAAACGATGATACTGACTGCTTTCCCGGGCCACAAAGGCCGTATGATATTCCACGTAGCAAACGCAGCGTCGGCAGTGCCACGTATGCGACGCCCCCGCCCCTCCGCCACCTTGGTGAGCGTCCGGCGGAATCGCCGTTATTTATCGCAGCCAAAAGTGGGGCGAGATCCGGCGAAGTACTTACGCGCAGAGAAGGTGGTGATGACGATGGGCAGGACCATCAGCATTAGGAACATCAGGTGCTTCATCTTGTCGCTTTTTCGGCTGCAATTCAATGCGCGGCACGGGGAAAATCAGAGCAGGGGAACACACTCGCACGAACAACCGTTGCGTTCAGGGGAAACTAGCAGAGTGACGAAAACAGTGGCGGCGACAGCCGAAGTGGCACGAAGTCGTCACGACTTTCACTGTCAAATGTCTACGTGGTGCCACGTCTAGGGTTGCCAGGCCATCGCGCCGGGCGCCGACAGCTGCCCTTTCGCGTGGGATATTTCGTGTCCGGTGAGGGCAATCAGCAAGTGCATCAATGAAACAGGCAACGAAATAATTCTTTTTATACATCGTCGTAGCCAATTTCTTACATCAACACGAAAACTGTAATATATTATTCGATTTTTGTTGGCTCGGCAACCCGGTTTTGGCAAACAGTGCTGCAAAACTCTACAACTGTCACTGTTCGTGTATTTGCAAGTTATTCACTTAAAACGTGAAAACGGGCCGATGAAACGTTTTATAAACTCCATAAATAACATTATGTTTATACTATTTTCGCCTGAAAGTCTTTTTTATTGCTAATTAGCACAGATGTTGTAGCTAACAACACTGTATGGCTATCGATATATCGCAAGAATGGGGCTGCCAACTTGGACTTTTTTAAGTTGATAGAAAATAATTCACGCAATTTAACCATTTTAGTATTATTTATACATCACTCTACACTGCAACTCAACGCTTTATTAATAATAATCTGTTCAAATTACTATTTCTAAGCAAAAATAAGTCTTGTTCCTGCTTTAATAAATTAAATTTAGCTATCGTCAGCCATTTTCGTGCCCGCCAGCCGATAGTTGGCAGCGCCGATTATTGCAGCTATCGGCCGTGGAAGCGCAGCCAAGTTCACGCCGCCGCACCGATAACCGCTCAACTTCCTTTTTGCTTGCGGCTGTCAATTGAAGCGCAACTTGCACGTGAATTTTCTCTGCGAATTTTCAGCGAATTTCGATAAGCCATGGACAAACCAGTTGTGTGGGCTCGCGTCATGAAGGTCCTCGGCCGCACCGGCTCCCAGGGCCAGTGTACCCAGGTTAAGGTGGAGTTCCTCGGCGAGCAGAACCGCCAGATCATCCGCAACGTGAAGGGACCCGTGCGCGAGGGCGACATTCTCACCCTGCTGGAATCCGAACGTGAGGCCAGAAGACTCCGCTAACGGGGTTGATGCTCCTCTGCTGCCTTGGATCTATTTAGAAGGTGAGTTCCCCTGTCTTCAGCGCCATAAAAGCAGCCTCCTAATGTCTGTTTTCCCTTTGTTTTTCAGATACTTTTGATTTAATGTTTGCACGAGGCTCTGGCATCGCAAAATACGTTATAAACAAATGCAAATATAAACGTAATTGAATTCCCAAGTTGACAAAATGTGTTTTAAATAAATCTGGAGTAGTGGACAACCCCTGAAAATACAAAACAAAAAACCCAAACTGTGGTTTTCATTTATTTAATTTTTTTTATTGTGATATTGAGTGTCGAGTGCAAATTTAAAGACAATGCGTGGATAAGTGTTGAAGGAAAATCATGGCATTGCTTAACGAATTCGATTGTCAAAAGATCTGTTAGTGCTGCAGAGCGAAATTTCGTCGAGTTTAAATGGAAAAATCCATATGATCAGCAGGGATTTATGTTTACACGTTACTCAGGCCTCAACTAGCCGGGAAAACTATGACGAAATGCTTCTTAATACAAGCAAATTGTCCTGATAGATGTTCAATTGGATTCAATGCGTTTTTTGTTGTGAAATATATTCAAATACCAGTAGATATATTCAGGTCGTAGTCAGAATAAGCATAATTTTGCTTTAAAATCTTCCTAATGAATGTTTATTCACTTTAGAGCGAGGCTTAGATTATTAAATATAATAAACCACAATTGTGTCAAATGAAAGGCTCAACAATCCATATTATAGCTTAAGGCAGAAGTATAGCTTCTTAAAAGTGAGATGAAACCAAACAAGGAAATTATAATGTAAGCTTTACATTAAAAACAGAGGCCAGAAGCTAAAGTAATGCAGTTTTTTTAATGCAAAATCCCCAACAAAAAACTGAAAAATGCCATGATTTCCCTCAACACAAAGAAAACACCATAATATATCCTTTCAGTTTAAGCACCGACTATAGTTTGTGGACCATCCACTCTTATAAGTTTCTCCTGTACAAAATCCAAGGGCTTTTTTAACAATCGTTCGATTTTGGCCAAGCCCAAAGTCATAGAGGCTTCTATATGCTCCGGCAGTTGGAGATCGGACTTGAAGGCCTCCAGAGCAGATTCTCCCAGTGCAAACTTTGGATGAAGCTGCCGCAGATGAAGTTCCAGATATTTCGTTTGATTTTGCATGGATTTCAGGGATTCTTCGAGGAAATCAAGGAGTTCCTTTAAAAAGCCAGGGGTCTCCGATGTTTCTTGTTCTGTTGTTAGTTGCATGCACTCATTTTTGAATTCCTCTACTTGAATGAATACTTCAAAGAGTTCCTCGTCTAAATGTAAACTATAACAAATACAATATAGGGCGTAAGTGTGTATTCTGCAGGTTGGAAGCCGGGTCACTTACATGCTGTTGTACAGGCCTTGGAAGGCTTCTTGGCAGGCAGAAAGTAGGTAAACCGATGCAGCTTCATTTTTACTAAATGATAAACATATGATTAAATTGTTACAACTAATTGGAGTGCTATTGCATACCCCTTAACCAAGCGATATCTCTGATTCAGTTCCCACAAACGGTTTGCTTTATTCGTCAATTCGGCTGTTTTTGAGCCCCTCAACTCATGGTAACTCTTTACGGAGACGACCAATCGCTGGAGCTGTTGCCTGAGGCTGTTGTTGTAGTATTCTATGCGCTCTGGCGGCATTAACATCGCGGCAAAGCATTAGAATTTACCCAAAACAAATTTAATTAGTTTGGCACATGGCCGGCCACCGTCGCTTGTCAACACTGGTCGTGTTGGTAAACGTCTTTTAGGCGATATATATCGAAAGAGCTGAGTTACAAATTTGTTAAATTTAATAATTAATTTTTGAATTGAAAATGTTTAATATGTTATTATTTGACTCTATTATATTTTTTTATTTGATTTGTATTATAATTCTTAATTATGTTATTTATTTGTGTACTGATAAAAACTTGATCTTAAAGTAAATGTTATGACATATAAAATATAGATATGTTTATTTAAACTGAAATAATAATAATTAATACGTTAAAGGTGTTTTATGTTTCGTGGCACAACTATTGCCTTAAGAAATCAGTAAAGTTTTGTAAAAGTTTCGCTTATTTAATAAATATATTTATAGGAAGAAACACTAGTCATATAAATTTCACATGTTCTATATTTTTATTAAACACCCTTTGGTTAGCACAATTCAAATATGGTTTAATAACATCAAAAATTTATGATCTATCGCAGCCACCGATATATATCGCAATCAGCAACAGCTGATGAGGAAAAAGCAAAACAGAGAAATAGTAGGACCAGATATCTTTCCCCTCGCCGTTTTCGCCATAACACGAACGTAAAAATTATTCAACATTCGATGAAACTGCTCTAAATTGACTTTTATCACAGAAAAGCCAGAGCGAGATGCGACTGATCCGCATCACGGCGCTGCGCCAGCGCCTGGCCGACAAGCTGGTGATGCCGGAGCGACTGAAGGACACATTTGTGGAGAAATGGATCAAGTACTGGAACGGCCTGATGCGCGACTACTCCGAGGTGGCGGTTGGCGTGGTCCGCGAGTCCTATGCCCGCCCCAAGAAGGCGCTGTTCTATGGCACCGGGCTAGTCCTGCTCTACAAGAGCGCTGTAAACAATCCCAGCGAGGATTGTTTCATGACGCTGCTGCGACGAGACACCAACAGGATGATAACGGTGGCAAAGGATCAACAGAATCCCGTGGCGGCGGAATACCTGCTCACATTGGAGCAGGCCGTTAACCAGAAGAAGCTCCGCCTGCTCTCGCTAGGCATCTGCACGCTGCTCTGGGTGGATCTGTATGACGAGGACGACTGCACATATCCGGCCATCTGCGAGTACACCAAGGTGGGCCTCCTCAACTTCCACGAGCGCGTCATCGATGTGGGCTTCTGGAACGAGTTCTGGCGGCTCAGGTGGAAGATGCGCAACTTTGATGTGAATTACCTGTGAGGGATCTGGAGACGGGATCTCCTTGACGTTGCCTTAAGTTAACTATAACCTTACGATGTTGTTGCTCCCTGTTTAAGCCAACCAAAAAGAATACAATGTATGTTATGTATTTAGCATTTTCGGGTAACATTTATAATGTAATATCATACATGGACTCTTTTTTGTTCTTGAATCAGGCACTAACAATTCCCTTTGGCTTGAACTGTGCTCCCTCTAGGAGCCTGTGGCCGGCTGCGCTGCTGCTGCTTCCACGATCTTCTTTGGCTTAAATTGAGTCTCCAAGAGATCTTGGCAATCCTGCAGCTTGGCCAGATTATTGATCTTACCCTGGAAACTGCTCTCCTTGCCGTTGCCCTTGCCCTCGAGCAGGTCGAGGAACTGTGGTCCCAGTTGCTGGACAATTTCCGGATCGCCGCGCAACACCATATGGCCCTTGGCACTGCTGCCGGCGGACACGCCCTCGGAGACGGTCAGAAAGTAGAAAATCTCGTCGGGTGCTAATCGCAGGAACGTATTGATGAAGTCCACCTCGATGCCATCGCGCCGATGGAGGCAAAAGTACTTGGGACGCTCCTTCTTCGGCAAATCCTCCAGCCGCTCGGCCTCGGCGGTGGCGAAATCCTTGAGCAGCAGCTGAAACGATTTTCGGGTGCCCTTAACATTCTGCTGCAGCTTCTGGAGCAGATCCAGATGCTGGGCTGGACCGCCTCTGTGAAATACAATCGGGGATTAACATGGTATATATCCGAGAAAGACCTTGGGAACTCACTTGAGGGCCTGGGTGAGCTGCTGTTCGCGCTGGAAAACCTCGCCCAGTTTGGTGAGAACCCTTTCGCCGACCACAAAGTGAACATTGATATTGGTCTTGACCTTCTCCGCGTACAGCAGCTTGACGCACTGCAGCTGGGAGAGATTCGTGACGTGGGTACCGCAGCACATGTTGCTCTCAATGCCCTCGATTCGCACCACCCGGGCCAGGCCCTCATGATCCTTGGGCAATCCCCTGGGCGCTCTGGCGTCCTGGAACTCCTGTGCCACCTCGGGGTCGACAAGAACCACCGATACCTCGCGTCCCTCACGGATTAGATCATTGGCCTGGCGCTCGATGAGATCCAGCGACTCGCGACTGATCAGATGGGGCGTGCTTAGCTGGATGTAGGATGTGCTGCTGCCCATTGACCAGGAGGTGGTGTCATACTTGAACTCCCGATCGAAGAGCGCCGTGATTAGGTGCTGACCCGAGTGCTGCTGCATGTGATCAAGCCGCCGCTGGTAGTCCAGAACTTGCAGTACCTCCGCGCCCGCATCGAAGCTTCGAGGCGATTCCACAAAGTGAACGGCAGTGGTTCCCTTGCGCTGGACATTCCTCACCGAGAAGCCATCCAGGGTGCCGTAGTCGCAGGGCTGGCCGCCGCCCTCGGGAAACAGGATGGTGTCCTCGCAGATCACATTGAAGCCCTTGAGGGTCTGCACTTGGCCATCGGTATTGGTCCAGTCCAAAGTGGCGAACTCGCAGCTGACAACTTTTGTCTTGAACTGTGACCAAGAATTGGGTAAGAATTATGTAATTATCTGATATCTAGGGCTAATAATATAGTCACCTGCTTCAGGAAGCTGTCCTCCTGGCACTTAAAGACCATCTTGTCATTCAATTAGCCCAATTGCCAGCCTGATTTTCCAAACAATAAAACTTATGAGTGATTCTGTCAACAAGTGTTCATTTCTGCCGTTCGTTCACGGCACCGGTTCATTCTAGAGATGCGCAAATATTCACGGTGAAACGGTCACGCTAATTATGATAATAATAAAATGGTAATTTTTTTTTATTAATTTTTTGATGCATGTGCTTATTGTTTTATTTTATAAAATATATTTTAAGATATAAGACCTGTTTTTATTTTTTAGATTGAAGAAAGTTAAAAACGTTTCTGGTTTGAGTGTCGCAGTTCATCACTGAAAATATCTGCTCAAAGCTAAGTGACTAGTTCAGCAAGGCTTTTAAATTGATTTAAAAATGCAATGATAATTAAATATATTTTAAACAAATTAAAAATGTAACTTAGCGTGGAGATATTTTAGTTTTATAAAGCTTAATTGAAGTCAATTAAAGGTTACTAATCAGCACTCCTTCTTCTTTTTTATTTCCCTCTTGCTCTTATTCACATCCTCTTTCCGTCTCGCTCTCTATCGTGGACCGTTGGATCGAAAGTGATTTTCAAGAATGCCACTTGTTTAATTCTAAAAATATACATATTTCCTTTTTTAAATTTCCCTTTATTAAAACTCTATTTGCTTTATTTAATATTTAATAATTTCATTTATTATTTTGTTATAATCGCAGGGCTGCCTTATCAGCTTCAAACTGGGGAGCTGCCAGACCGTTGCAAGAAAACTTAACGAATCCCGCTCTCTCTCCCTCTCTCTCAAACAAAGGCGCGCAGAGATAAGGAGAGAGCAAGAGAGAGGCGCACTTGTCGTCCTGTGATTTGCGCCTTACGTCTTTGGCTGCTCAACAGTTTCCTGCCAATGTCCCGTTACGACACACCGTTACGTTATTTCCTATCAGCATAACGGTAGCAACGGATTCGGGGCCCTTTAAATAAGTTTAAATGCAACCACCTGCCGTTAATCAACAAGGATAATCGCCCAGATCCACGTCGTTCCCGTATCATATCGCCAACGCCGCGATTTTGTCGGTTTAACCCCGTTAACCCTGTTTTGTTTTCTGCGACTTCCGTTTCATTTTTCGCGAGTGTTTTTTGTCGGTTATATAAGTGGACACAGGCACACGGGAAACACATATAAATTATTCTACGAAAGGATACAAACAAAGTGAGAAAATGGAACACAACTGTCTCTTGTCGCCCACCACATTTGCATGCTATTTTTCTAAAGTAAAAATGTGGGTCTCCATGACGGCCAGGTCCTTTCGAGAGTTGGGATCAAAATCAAAGCCTCACCTGCATTGTCCTGGCAACTAAAACCCAAACTAATTGCTACCACCAGTCGCTGGGGGGTAATGTGTAAAAATTCCATTACACTGCATTAGTTGGTGGGTGGAAAATCTGAGAGGGGGGGCCGGGGGCCAAGGGGCTCTAAAAAGGACTTTCAGTTGATTGATTTATTGTGTGTGCCCAGTCACGCATATCCCATAGCTGTCATAGTGTTGGTGACCATGTGCCCCTGTGTGTGTGCCTGTTTGTGTCTGTGTGCCAGTTTCCCTTTTGCATGATTTGATTGATGGCAAAATGGCAGAGAGAAAAAATATATAGAGGTTAAGTTATGACATGCTGTTGCATGCATTTGTAGCTCAATTTTTGTATGTTATACTTAAGAATCTAGGAATATTTCGTTAAATAATTAAGCAAACAGTTTTCAACTTTATAATTTTGATGCCTTAATATTTTTTATATTAAAAATAAGAATTTTCTAGAAAAGTTTTAAACTATATTAAAAAAAAATTACAATTTTTTCCGGATAATACTTTTGTTAAATATTTTTTCTCTCTGTGCACGCATGCAATGTGTACGATTATTATTAGTAATTACGTACTATGTATTTCACTCAACAAAAGCAGCTAGCAGCACTGCGATGGCGTCTACTACTAATGCACCGTTATCACCAGCAATTAAGCACTAACAAAAGCACCAAAAAGACAAACAAAAGAAACAGTTACTCTGAGAAAACTTTTAAACTGCAACTAATATTCAAACACGACGATAAACAACAACAACAATAGCAAGGGGAAGGCAGAATGCTCTTTATTTAGCGGCCAGAAAGTATGCAACGAAAAATGTCCAGCGAACTGTTAGTTACCTGAACGCAACACCAGGCGGCGCTAAGGAAGAGAGCGAGCGAGCGAGAGAGAGAGAGTTGGCGGATAATTAGAGAAAACGGAAACGGAAACACAGCACACACACACAGACACAAACAAACACATGCACAGCACCCCTAGACACACATAGAATACCGCCTCTAATAAATCAAGAAATAATAATTATAATAATAATAAACCGCAATCATGGCCAACACAGCACAGTTATTGCGTCGCCAGAGCTCCCGGGATATAGTCCTTAAAAGCCAGAAAAGCATTGATCAGCTGGAATTGAGGGTAAATTGAATTAAATTATAATTTTTATATTTCATATTTATTTAAAAATCTCGATTTTAGGAACTGCGCGGCCGCTTGGTACCCAAGGAACATGGCGTCAGCCATCACCATCACACGTCGCTGCATCTGCACCAGCCACTTTATGGAGCCACCAATCAGGGCTTTATGTCCGATGCCTTCGATGAGTCCTCGGAACTGGAACAGGATCCGCCGCCCTTTGGCTCCGAGGCAAGCACCTCCAAGGCCAAGGCCGAGCTGGTGGCCAATGCTGCGGCGGCGGATCAGCAACAGGACATTGTGGAGGGCGAGAAGGAGGGCGAGGAGCGTGAGAGCTGGGACAGCAAGATAATGTTCCTGCTGGCCACCATTGGGTAAACTAAATTATATATTTAATATATTTATATTACTTAATGTTAATGTTAATTTATTTTAGCTATGCCGTTGGTCTTGGCAACGTGTGGCGCTTCCCGTATCTGGCCCAAAAGAATGGCGGTGGTGCCTTCCTGGTGCCCTACTTCATCATGCTGTGCATCCAGGGTATACCCATCTTTTACCTGGAACTGGCCATTGGCCAGCGTTTGCGCAAGGGCGCCATCGGTGTCTGGAGCCAGGTGTCACCATATTTGGGCGGCATTGGCATCTCCTCGGCGGTGGTCAGCTATATAGTGGCTTTGTACTACAACACGATAATTGCCTGGTGCCTGATCTATCTGCTGCACAGCTTCGAGTCACCGCTACCGTGGGCGGACTGCCCCACGCGACTCTACTCCAACTATACGTACGACCATGAGCCGGAGTGTGTGGCCTCGTCGCCGACGCAGTTCTATTGGTATCGCACCACGTTGCAGTGCTCGGAGAGCGTTGACCTGCCGGAGAACTTTAACTATCACATGGCCATTGCGTTGATTGTCTCCTGGTTTCTGGTCTACATATGCATGGTCCAGGGTATAACGTCGTCGGGCAAAATTGTCTATATGACGGCCATCTTTCCGTACGTTGTCCTCATCATCTTCTTCTTTCGCGGGATCACGCTGAAGGGAGCCGCCGATGGGGTGGCCCATCTGTTTACGCCGCGATGGGAGACACTGCTGGATCCGGTGGTGTGGCTGGAGGCAGGCACCCAGATCTTCTTCTCGCTGGGCTTGGCCTTTGGCGGTCTGATTGCCTTCAGTTCGTATAATCCGGCGAATAATAATTGCTACAGGGACGCCATACTTGTGTCGCTGACAAATTGTGGCACTTCGATGTTTGCGGGAGTTGTGGTATTTTCGGTCATCGGATTCAAGGCCACGGCCACGTTTGATCGATGCACCGAGGAGAGGAACGGATTGATATCGCAGAACAAGACAACCAACCTGCCGGTGTGTGATTTGCAAACGGAGTTGGCCAATGTGAGTGGGGATTTTTTGATTAGTAGTAGTTGTAGATCTATATAAATCTTAGACATTAGATAAGAAAGTTTAGAAGGAATTGGAATAACTTGAAATTCTCAAATTTCAATCCTTAAATATTTCACAGCATACTTTTGGACTCTCTTTAAATAGATTTTTTGTAAAGATTTACAGAAATATTTATATAAAATATTTATTTATAATATATATTATATTCTTAAGATAAAATAATATAGTGGAGACTTGAAATCACTTGAAGTTCGGCCTAAAAGTATGCTATCAAATAATATATCCTTGAATTTCAGCCCATTTTCAAAACTAATTAAAAAAGAGTACAAAAGTCATGCTATTTATCAATTAGTTTCAAATACATTCTTATAATAATTTCTTTAATGTATATAATTATTTATAACTAATTCTAAGCGTTTTTTGTTGACCTACTTTCACAGAGTGCTTCGGGCACTGGACTGGCCTTTATTATATTCACGGAGGCGATCAATCAATTTCCGGGCGCCCAGCTCTGGGCCGTCCTTTTCTTCCTCATGCTGTTTACCCTGGGCATCGATTCGCAGTTTGGAACACTGGAGGGTGTGGTCACCTCGCTGGTGGACATGAAGCTCTTTCCCAACCTGCCCAAGGAATATATAGTGGGGGTATACATGCACTCCGATTATAATTAAAACCAAATATTTAATATAATCTCTTCGCTTTCCCCGACAGGCTTTGTGCTTTTCCTGCTGCCTGATTTCCATGTGCTTTGCCAACGGTGCCGGCAGCTACATCTTTCAGCTGATGGACAGCTTTGCCGGCAACTTTCCGCTGCTGATCATCGCCCTCTTCGAGTGCCTATCGATTAGCTATATCTATGGTGTGCGCCGATTCTCGGATGACATCGAAATGATGACCGGCTCGCGGCCCAATTTCTATTGGATGTTCTGCTGGAAGTATCTGTCCCCCTGTGCCATGGTCACCATCCTTCTGGCCTCGTTCTATCAGCTGCTAACCGAGGGCAGCAGCTACCCTGCCTGGATTGCCGCCAAAGGATCCACCGAGTCCATGGAGTGGCCACACTGGTGCATTGTCATTGCCTTCTTCTTGATACTCTCGTCCATCCTGTGGATACCAATTGTGGCGATTTTGCGGTAAGAAAGGGAAAAACTCCTTTGCGAATAATGACCTAGAAATTCAGTGAGACCCTAGTTCCATTTATAGCAAAGTTTATTTAAAAAAAAACCATGTACAAACTTCCTGCTAAACTTGAATATAATTTTATATATATAATTTTTAAATTTTCATAGCCTTTGCGGCATCAAGGTGGTGGAGGATTCGGATCCTGCCTGGTTTCCCGAGGCGGAACTGAAGGAAGTCCATGGCATTGTGCCACACGAGCCAACCGAACTGGAGCGTAGCATTTTCTGCTTCAACATGGATGGAACGGAGGGCATGTGCTGCCCCAAATATGGTCTCCCCGAGAAGTCCCTGGAGGAGGAGGAGTAAACGTGACAATAACCGAAATAGAAACCGATGAAATCGTAATGTAAATATGGACAATAACTAAGCACACACACTCACCGACGTTGGGCGGCGTCGATATCAAAGAAAACACTCCTATATATGGTCCCAAAGACTGTTAAAAAAAAAAGAAACGAAAACGAAAACGAAAACAAAAATACAAAGAGAAACCACAAAAACAATAAGGAAAATAGGAAAATAAAAACAAAATAAAGATAGCAATAGTAACAACAGGAACGGTGAAAACTCGACGCTGGATGCGCGGTTTCATTCAAGCAGAAAGCTAATCGTAGAAAAGAAAAAATGAAAGAAAAATGAAGAAAAATCGATAGAGAAATATTTCCGCATAACTTCATTAGCATGTGGCAAAATCGTAATCATAAAATCATAATTATACCGGTATTATGATTATCGCTTTCCATTTGCCAGGCCAGCCCTTGTAGGGGCTCTACATATCCGATTTCGTATAGCCATATTTGATTTCGAGCCCAAGAAGAGAAACCAACTGTAACTTGCTGACTATATATATATACATACATATACGATATACACAATAACTACTGTATGCTATTGATTTCGACTCGATTAATGTTAAGCCATAACCATATCATGCGGGCATTGGGCACCACCTATAATATACTATATACTATATATATTATCAGCTATATACCTATATTCATTCTCTGTTGTGATCAGCTCTTGGCTTTCTGTGTTTATTGTTGTTATCGAGGATACTGTTGCTCATATCACATCCGAAACTATGCTAGCCAAACTTTAAAGTCTCAGTGTTATAGGGAACGATGGGGGATATATATATTATGTTTTGCTCCAATCGAAAGTTATACCACATTACTTGTTGACCGCCATAACATAGCTCTCCACTCCACTGTACTTATGATCTACACACTCGAGATTAGTTAGGAACTGGGGATCGCATCTATAGGGGAGTATATCCCTAGATATATATATATATTTACATTTACATTTACATTTACATTTAACAAAACGCAAACGCAACCGTTCAACTAGCCCAAAAAAGAAATACAAATGAAAATATATGGAAGAGGAGGAACTCTATATATATATACATATACATAACTGGAGAAGGCTTAACGAAACGACTCACGATATCATTCCATCATGGACGAACTATTATACAAATTAATGAAAAATATATAAGCCTATATAGTATATATTTGTGTCTGTTGAAATTTGGTTAGAGGGTGGCTGGGTTACAGTTGGGGGTTAAGTTTTAACCTTTAACCTTAAGCAGACACCCGATAGCAATTGATTTCGCTGTATTATAAATTCAACATTTATTTGTGGTATATTTATACATATACATCGATATATATATTATATACATCTATTTAGAAGGAAAGAACAAATATATATTATACATGTATTAAGTGTTATTGATGTTGACAATAAAAGAAACCCATAAGAAACGAGTTTTAAACAAAGAAAAATGAATAAGAAACAAGTGAGATATAGACAAACTTCCGATACACACACAACCACCCACAGTTTGCTAAAAACAAAACAAAAAAAATAGAGTATGATAAAAGCAAAACGTATAAATACATATAAATATATTTACGGCGAAGCAATAATTATTAGATTCGATATTATTCCGATTATTGTTGTTATCGATTATTTTGCTCGCTCTCGAAAATGTCTCGTAATTGATGTAAAACTCACTCATTCGTACTGATCATGATAATGCTAATAATTTACTAATATTTAATTCGCAACTGATAAATTATAAAGAGAATTCCAACTAAAAATGACAATAAACAATATAAAACTAAGACTTGAATTGTATTTGAATTTTTCCAGGGCTTCTTTTGTCTTAAGTTTTTATTTTTCAATTTTAAGTTATGTTTTTTAAAGTCTATGTAGATTATAATTTCCAAGAATTATATGAAATCTCCATAAATTATGAAGCTTGGTCAGCACTTAACAGCAGTAACTACACTGAGGTAATTTATTATTATTTTTTTGTTTGAAATTTTAATGTTTATTATACAATAATTAAACTTATTACTAAGCTTAACATACTTAAATTAATTTAAATACCTACCAATAATTTTATATAATTTTAGGATCGCCAGAGATGAAGCTGGAGAAGCGAGCAGATGGAAGGACAGACCTCAACCGGATGGCAGTAGAGGACGGTGATCGGATCTTGGCTCCGGGCTATATGAATGCCTGCAGCAGGCGTAGATAATTAAAATATTTATAAATACAATTTAAATATGTAAATGTAATTGATGGAACACACAAATATGAATCAATAAAAGATGGAGAAATCAATGTACAATTTTTTGGTAAAGGCGGCATTTATTTGGGATCGTTTAAGGAAAAATTTAATTATTTTGAAAGTAAAATCTAAATTTTTTCTGAATTTTAAACATTTTTTTCGGATGTTTTACAATTTTTCTAACTTTTTCTAAATTTTTAAAATTTGTCTGAATTTTTAACATTTTTTTTTCATATTTTTTATATTGATTTTTTTTTATAATTTTTAAAATTTTTTTTAATATTTTAACTGCCAAATTTGAATTTGAACTTAACTGCCAAATTTGAATTTGAATTTACCTGCCAAATTTGAATTTGAATTTAACGACGATCAGTTTCAGTGTGACCAGGATTATGTCCCCGCTAACTTGCGCCGGCTCCCAAATGGTTTGAAACTTGGACTTTTTATAACAGTTTATACCAGTTTTCAGTTGCTTGCTGCTGATTTCTGTTCGCCTGTTACCCCAATTTGGGAAACGGGCAATTTGCATGGAAATGATCGGAAATTTGGATTGGCTGCTGTAGGGATGTTGTTGTAAAAAGGTTGTTGTTGCCATCAAGCTGTTGTTGTCGGCAACAAATAGGTATAAATGCATAAAATGAAATATAACTGTTTATACCAATTATTATTTTTGCCCAAAAGTTTTTATAACAGTTTATACCAGTTTTCAGTTGCTTGCTGCTGGTTTCTGTTCGCCTGTTACCCCAGATTGGGCAACGGCCAAATTGGATGGAAATTTTTGCTCACTTGCATCAGTGATGCTCATCTGCATCAGTGATGCTCATCTGGCTATGTTTCAATATTGGGGGGCAATAAAGTCGGGCTTAATGGCAGAGATGCTCATGTGCATCAGAGATGCTCATCTAGCTTTTTTTTTTGCACTATTGGCAGAGAATGACATCTCACTAGCTACCAGTGATGCTCATCTAGCTATTTTGCCTTATTGGAACAAAATGGCATCTCAATTACTGCCAGTGATGCTCATCCAGCTATTTTGCAATATTTGATGTTTTTTTTTCATTGTCCACCGCAAGCCTGTTTAAATTATCCCACCCAAAAAAAAACCGCATCCTCCTCATAACTCAAAAATAACACATTTTTTACGGTTTTTTATTTATTTCAGCTTTAAATATATAAAAGAATAAATAAAAGAAGAAAAGGTGAGGCATGTGGGAATGTCGGAGGTCGTTCCCAGTGGTTTTTGCTCGGTCTTAGTGGCACCCTCGTCATGCTGTCCCAGCACCTGGTCCACTTCTCCTCCTCCTCGTCCTGATCCTCCTTGCCAACGCTCTCTGTCTCGCCTTCGGCACCCGCTTTCAGTTCCTGGCAGCTTGCTGCAATTAAATTTAAAAAAAAGGTGCGATTTATTTTGATAATTTTTCGGAAACAAAACTAATTTCAGGTCCATAACTCAGCCAAAAATGCATGAAATTCAATTCGAAAAGCTGTTCAGAGTTCGTTTTTCTAAGCTTAACAAAGCTGCCTACTCAGTTTGTTTTTTCGATCATTTTAACGATTTCAATCCCTTTTCAAATTTATTTCCCACCACACATGGCCAGATCGATGCGCCTGTTGATGCTGATAAACAATATATATGACTAATAGGGTCAAAAATGACTCCTTTACTGCCTCTTAGCGTAGCTTAGCTTCTGGCTAAAATTTGAATACCCTGCTTAAGCTATTATCCCCCTATGATATACCCAATTTTTCCCACAGTGCACCTGTGCAACGGTAATCAGCATGTGGCAACGCCTCCAGCGGCCCTTGCGATACCAGCGGAGCGCAACAGGCGGAAACAAATGGCCAAGTGACCAGCGACTCAATCACAGGACGAGGGGATGGACGAGGGCTCTTGGCCGGCTTTGGCTTGGGCCAACACAATCGTCGTCGTCGTCATCATCGCCGGACGTCTCGCTGTGCATCGAATTAGCGGTAAATTACAAGCTGCAATGAATGTTGCATGTTGCTGCTGTTACTTTCTGCATACACACCAAGTGCAGCAGCAGCAGCAGCAGCAGCTTTACATTCCGCTGATTGCACACCAAGTCCCAAGAGTTTTCTTTCTTTCTTTCTCTCCTCTCCTCTCTCTTACCTCCCCTTTATCATCTTTGTTTCGTTGTTTCTTTGCATAAACATTTTTGGTATAATTAAAAGCAGAAATCCATCGGCAATTGCTCATCGAGAGGAAAGTTTTATTATACCCTTGCAGGGCATTATAATTTCAGTCAGAAGTTTGCAACGCAGTGAAGGAGACGTTTCCGACCCTATAAAGTACATATATATATTCTTGATCAGCATCAACAGGGGAATCTTTCTAGACATGTCCGGAAGAAATCGATTTTTTGACCATTTTTGCAAAATTTTATAAGGGGTTACATCATTAAAATTAGCAAAAATGGCCAAAAATTTTGATTTCTTAAAATTTTAAATTTGGTATGCATTTTTTTTAAATTAATAAAAACTAACATAAAACTGCTTTCCGAATCGAAATTAATGTTACCTGCAAGGGTATACAAACTTTGCCTGGCCAAAGTTAGCTTTCTTTCTTGTTTTTTATTTGAATAACAAAAAAAAAAAAAATAATAATAATAAAAAATATTCAAAGTGTCGATTTTGGAATGCGATTTTGGTAAGGCGGAAATTTCAGTTATGAATTTGGTGCACTTGTTCGAGGGAGAGAGAGAAAGAGGGGGCGACAATGGTGAAAGAGATGACACTAAATAATAAATAAATAGAAAACCAAAGGCAAATAGCTTAAGAGTAATAAGTTAATGAAGCTTAAATAGCCTAACCAATTTAACTAAAAATTTAAATCACAAAAATATATTTATTTAATTATAGTATCTCTTTAAATTTGTTTTTAAATTTTAATAAATTAACTAAAAATTTAAATCAAAAATGTACATTTATTTAATTATGGTTTATATTTTTTTAAATAGTTCAAAAATAGTTAACATTATTTTACTTTAATTTAATATTTTAATTTATTATTTTTTTTTTAATGAAGATTTTCTAATTTCCACATAATATAATGATTTTAAACATTTTGATGTTCACACAATGATGATCACAATCAATTTATAAATATATATTTAATAAATATTTTCCGTTTTTTCATTAACAATATAGTTTTTAAATGATGTTTTATATTTATTTAAATTTTAAATGTACAATAACAAATTTCCAATTCATAATTTCTTTAAAGAACCCCAAAAATATTAGATATTATAGAAATAAAAATTTTTTTAAATTAGTATTTTCCATAGAAAACGTAAAAACTCTTACAAATTATTTTTATTATTCAGCAAAATTAAGTCTTTTATGCCTGACGTTCAATTGACACTACAGAAAAATTAATAAGTACCCTCTTGATGGGATAAAATCCCTAGGAAACAATAAACTGAAATATGTTTGGTAAAAAGAGCAAAAGAAAGACAATGGAGAGAAAGAGATAGCTTAGTAGAGATAGAGATATGCACAGGTAAGTCTGTGGGTAAATATGATGTGTCTGTATGTGAGGCAGGCGAAATAAATGGAATAGCTAAGATGAATGCCGCAAACAAAAAAAAAAATAATAAAATAATAAGAAAAATTCAAAATAAATACGAACGACGTTTATGCGACCACCAGTGGCATGTACAGTGGGGCAAGAGTATAAATTTTACAAAACAAAAATAAATTTAGGAAAAATTAACCTATATTATGCAGTAAATATTAATATTTATGATTGACAATTTTTTATATTTAGTTTTTTTCTGAATTAAAAACTTTAAGATTTCGTAACTTTTTCTATAGAAAATAAATTGATATTCAACTGACGAATATAACTTGATATTGATATGTTATAAATATAAAAATATTCAATACAAAAATACAATAAAAAATAAATATTATAACTATTTATTAATTTTAATAAGCAAATGCATTATTTTTCAATGATTTTAATCTCATTTGACCTATATTTATGATGAAATATTACTCAACAAGAAAATTGTATATAAAAACAAGTCCAAATTATAATGAATTATGATACCGAATACTGATTTTTCCTCCCCCTAACCATACTATTTATTGGCAAAAAAATTTGTTGAAATTCCAGCTCCAAAGTTGAAGTCTCAATCTGAATCGCAGTCTCTCAATCTCAGCACCTCGGCATCTCAGTTGCACCTGAGATCTCGGCATGAAAAAAACGAAGAAAAGCATTAAAAACATAAAAAAAACACAAAACCAGTTTGAGGCCTTGCCACATTCCATGCGATCCGCAGCAGCCCGTCGATCTGCCCACTGTGCCCCACTAGCTCTCTGCTGGTTCCACTGTGCCTCAGCTGTGCGGCAGCCGCAAACAATTAACTTTGGCAACAAACGAGTACTGCAGCGGCAACAACAACAATGGCTACTATAGCAACAATAACAATAATAAAAGCAGCAGCGTAATAAGCAAGTGCCGAAGCCAGCAGAGGCAGCGACGGCGACAGCGACTGCGACAGCGACAGCGACAGCGAAAGCGGCTGCGCCTGCGCACGTAAACAAATTCTCAGCACCGCATATTTTCGTGATGCCCTACAAGAAGGGTATTGGGAAATGCTTAAACAAGCTGGTAGAAAGAAATTTTGAGAGTAAAAAAAATAAATTTAAGCTTTGAAGATGATTAAATAAATTAAATATAATTTATTTCGAGTTTATTTAAATAAAAAATAATAATAAAAATAAAAAAAAATATCTGAATGAATAAAAAATTCCATAATTTTTAAATAAAAATAAAATTAAAATAATGTTTTGATATTTCATGTAAAAGTCGATATATAAATCGATATTTTCATTTTAAAAATAAAAATAATAATATTTAAATATCATTTGTAAAAGAGACAAATAAATTGTATAAATATTTTAAGACAATAGTTTTTAAAATAAATTTAAATATATTTTAAAGATTAATACAATATTATTTAATTCGATAATATCGATATTTTATCGACCAATTTAAACAATTGTCCTAGAAACTAAAAAACAATTTTTTACCATATATTTTCCTAGCTTGACTTATTTTTTTGACTTTTATACTGTCTCAATTATAAATACAAAATTGTTTATGTTCATAAATAATCTCAACTTTTTTTTTCTTAAGGTATTAACCATCTTCGACTTTGGCCAGCTAATCCAGCTTTCTTGTTTTTGTTTCAGGTAATTTCTGTGTGGCTGCCGCTGCTGCTTTTTTGTGGGTTTCTTGAAAGCAAAAATTAAAAAACCACAACAACCGACGGACGCGAAAGAGACGGCCTCTGGGCCAGACGAAAGAGATGGATAGAAGTAAAGAAACAACAGAAAAAAAAAAAACAGAAACAACAATCCCTGGCGAAACACGCCAACCCAGCGCGACTTTGTTGCTGCGGTTTTCAGTTGCCAGCGCGATTTTGAATGAGTTGTACGCGCGGCGAGTATACTCGAAAAATTCCCCAAAAAAAAAATCAAAAGATTTTCGATAGCAAAATCGACGAATTTTATCAAGTGGAGTCCAAGTGACCCAAACTAGTGTCTTCCTCTCACAAACAAAATTTTATACAAAACCAAACCAAAAAAAATCTCTCAAAGTGCAAACTGTTTTTCCGCCTTTTCCAATTACAATTTTTTTTGTTTTATTTTTCGATGTGAGTGTGGAAATTATTGTGTGCAATAAGCGGCGAATGCAGGCCAACAGAAATCACAGCCTCAAATACTGGTAAGCCGCTTCAAATATTTCCAAACAACAAAAACAAAAAAAAAAAAAAGCAAAAGGAGAAATACAAAAAACAACGCCAGGTTCAAGTGTAACCAGTTTCCAGACTCAAAAAAAAAAAAAAATCAATTTTGCCGCAGGCAGAGCGCGCCCAATATTTCAAGTTCCCCGACTCTTCGGGATTCCAAAAGCTGGCTATTCAAATGTAAATCCCAACTTGTTCTTAACAGCCAAGAACATTCATTCGCTGAGCTGCCAAGAAGTTGCTACACTAATTGACTGGACTTGACCCACTCTTGGGGGGACAATGGTTACAAAAACCAAAAAAGAAAAAAGAAAATACCAGAGATTTATTTGGTGTTTACAACTGGCAGAAAAGTAATCGAACTTATCGATTTAAAATCGATAAGCAGTGTACGTTTTTTTCTAGGTCTAACGACAGGTGAATCTGAATAATGCAAAAATGAACGAGACAAAGGGCATAAGTAACTTATACTAAAGAAAAAGATATTGTTAGGGTTACTGGCAGGTTTAAGTAAAGAGTAATCAATATTTATCGATTTAAATCAATAAGCATTTAAAGTTTTGCCAGATGTGGCAAGTGTCTCTTGTGAGTCTATATGTTTTTGCTAGAAACAGATATGTTTTTTAATATTTATACTCGAGAAAAGCATATTATGATTAATAACAGGTGTAACTGGAGAGTAATCGATACAAACAACAACTGGAAATCGATAAGCATCTGGCAGTAACACTGTACTTGAAGTGTTCCCTTTTGTTTTCTTTTGATATTGATATCAAAGATATTGTACAAATAAATATTGTTATGAGAAAAACCTTTTTTTTGTAATTTTAAAAGAGTGAACACTTGAATTGTGGAAAGGAATACTTATTAATAAATATATTTAAACCTTAAAACAGGCAGGTAAGGACCTGCTCATAATGAAATTCAATATTTTTCAAGATTTTTAGAGAATTTTTCTTGACAAAAACTAATCACTTTAACTAATAAAATGTAATAATATTTATATAATATATTAAATATTATTTAAAAATGTTAAATAATATTTATCAAACTAAGAGCTGCATCTTGTAAAGAAACTTTACAATTAATTTTATTTTCCCTTTCAAAAATAACAACAAATTTGTAAATAAATACTTCTTAGCCTTAAAATGGTATCCAATTGTTTAGAAAATAATTAAACTCTTTAGAGCTTCCATAGTCTGATAATAAATAAAAAAAACATGATATCCGTTTCCTGTTGTCTTGAAAATCGCACACTTCCTGCCTGCATTCCTTTGGCCTGTCGCCACCTGGCGGTGGGTGACGTCTTTCGCCTGCAGGTGGCGTCACCTTTGTTCGAATTCCGATTTCAGGGTATTTCAGGGTCTCCCCCTTGCTTGTGGCATTCTTCGGCCAGTTCTGACTGGCTTTTGCGGTTTCGTGTTTATCATTATTATGATTATTGTTTCTCTTTTTTTTTATCTGGTTTCCCCCACTTTTTTTCTGTTCTTTTTTTGTTACTTTGGCAAAGCTTTTAACATTTATTCGGCATCATCTTCGGTTTAAATGTCAAGCTCGTGTGGTCTCTTACAGGTCTAACTCTTCTGCGCTTAGTTCTTGTTTACTTAGACAGTGGTGGCTCGATATAGTGAACAGATAGTAAAAATAGAAAATGGGAAGATAGAAGATAGAATGATGGAGAAAAGGTGTTGAATGTTATCTTTTGAAGGAGTCTTAATGATAGATGATGAATGTAGTAATGATTCTACGAAGAAAATAGCAAGAACATCTTTAAAATAAATTATAAAAATACATAATAGCCGAAAATTACCCTGTAAGCTTTACAGTAGCTGTCATCTAAAGAATTTAGATTAACTATTAACGTTTAAATATTTAATCAACAATTCTAGTTTTTTGCATTTATTATATTTAAAATGATTAAAGCTAAAAATATAAAGGTAACTTTAGATTGCCAGGGTAATAAATATATCAGATGATATGTGATCTTCTTATTACTAGTCCTATTTACCCATAGTTCACTGTACTTATTCGTTGCCTCTTATTATTTGCAGCAACATCAGCATTGGCAGCAGCAGCAGCAGCAGCAATTGCAGCAATCTACATGCGGTCGTCTAACTGTAAAGCACTTGGCAACGGTCAGCAGCAGCAACAAGTGGAACGCACAGCAGCAGCAGCAGCAACATCGGCATTTATTGCATAAACAACACATACAAAGACAGCACACATATACATAAAAAGTTGGTTATAAAAAATAAGAAAAGACAACAATTGCCAACTGATATTGGCCAAATGCATTAAGAACCATGGCGGCAATTACGGCAACAACAGGTGGCAACGCCAGCAGCAGCAGCAGCAGCAACATATTGCGATTGGATTTGGATCAGCGTCAAAGGCCGATGCGCGGTATTTCGATAATCATTGAATCAGCAGCATCCGAAGCTCAAGGTACAGCAGCAGCAGCACAACAAGCAGCTGCAGCAACAACAAGCAGCAGCAGCAGCAGCAACACTAGCAACAACAACAGCAATGCTGAAATGTCGCTCAAGTCACAGGCTGGCATGTTGCTGGCATTTGGCGACAGCAGCAACACAAACACCACAGCAACACAAGCATCAGCAGCAGCAACCAAAGATAATTTGGAAACTAGTTACGACACGGCAGCAACATTCACAGATACAGCCACCACTAGCATCACAACCACAAAAATCTATCCACAGTTGTTGTTGCGCATTGGAGAGTCCGAGGATAACGGAGAAATTGCCAGCACATCAGCAGCAACATCAGCTGCAGCAACAACAACAAGCACCATTATCAGCTGCAATGCGTTGCCAGCTGCAGCTGAAGCAGCAACAGCAGCAGCAGCAACAACTTCAGGTGAAATTAAAGACAGCGACATTGTAGTCGTTGCTAGTCAGCCAGCAGCAACAGCAGCAACAGCATCAGCAGCAGCAGCAGCAACATCAAATAGTGCAGTGACCGAACACACGGTTAAAATTCAAATCGAAAGCCAGACTCTGGCCCGAAATCTAGGCAAGCAGATCAGCGTGGTGAAGCTCAACGAGGGTGAGGAGATGGTTTACCATCAGCAGCAGCCACATCCCCAGCAGCAGCAACACCTCCAGTTTCTCGTGTCCAGCGGCCAGTATTCGCCCTGCGAGACCTTGGACAGCGGCACTGGCAGTGACCTGGAGAGCGTCAAGTCGCCAGAAATCATAGCCACCACCTCCATTGCCAGTGGCGGGCAAGTGCCCAAGCTGGAGCTACACCTGACCACCAACCGGCTGAAGGTCAGCGAGGTGTCATCGCCACTGCGTGCGTACAGTCTCACCGACTCTGGCGAGGAGTGTGACGAGAGCAGCAGCTCCTCCCTCAGCTGTGACTCGCTGCATTCGGGTGGCCTCCTGCCCACCTCGCTGCTCCGGGACATACACAGTCACCGGCAGGTGACACGGCAGGATATTGCACCCTTGATAACCACCAAGATCGATGGCAGGCCGCTGCAATATGAGGCCGATCGCTTCTATAGCTTCCATGTCAATGAGCATGAGAATTTCCGTAGCTTTGGTTCCACATCGTCGGCCTCATCGACGCCGGAATACGAGGGGAATGCCGGCTTTCAGGAGGAACCGTCGCAGGACGACGAAGATGCCTTCGTTGGCTATCGGGATGTGAGAGTGCTGGGAACGTCGGGCAAGTCGTCGGCCAATTCCACCATTAGATCTGCCAAGGGCACAGTGAGGGGTGTCAAGAATCGTGTGCGCAATGGAGTAGCCACCTTCTTGCAACTGCAACAGCCCAATGTCAAGGTGAGTTTGTAAAGAATTTGAATTAAATCAAAAATATTTTTTGAGCTAAAATTAGAGCAATTAGGAGACACAGAAAAAATGTCCGTCTTCGTAGATTAGGGCCATTTTACTGCAGAATCGTGGTTAGATTTACTGTAGAGCAGTCACAAGAAGTAACGCGTTACGTGGATATACTTTAGTTTACAGTAAAATCAACCCATGATTTTGGGTTGCAGCACTTTGAAATTGGTTGGATTTACTGCTGGTTTTTTTTTTTCTGTGTAGACCTTGAAGCTTATAATTAAGTAAGTAACGTTTTTTTTAAGCTCAAAATAGCCTTAAAAATGAGCATTCCCTGGCATGTTTCTCTAGATTAAGTAATTAAATAATTTTAATTCCAAAATGTTTATAAACATTGCCGCAATTAAAGTAAAAGCATTTGCAAAATGTAAGTAGATGGATCCTTTGGAAAAGTGCAATCTGCAAATAAATTCGGTGAATGTTTCATGTTTCAGACGTCGTCATAAATTGCTTTTGTTGTGTGAAAAATGTTTCCACAATGAGTGTAATTAAATTCACTTGCATTCACAACAAGTCTTCGTTTATTTTTCCTTTTTTTCCTTTTTTGTTATAACAAATGTGTGTTTGGCTAAATTAGCAAGCGAAATTTATGGGAAAAATCAAAGTGGTTTCAATGCAAAAGTGACAGTGGTCGCAGTGTCATTAATTAACTTAATTTTTTTAGTACTACTTGTGACAGTAGTTTGACATTAAAAACAGTAGAATGTACTCCAAAATGTATTCCAAAAACCTTGACAACAACAATTAAAGTTGGCACTCAAATCAAGCAATTATTTATTTATAAAAATGTTTATAAGATTTACATTAAATTAAATTAATTTCGTTAAATTATTTTCTTATTTATTTATAAATATTTAATATGGAAAACATATAAATGAAGTAAAGGGAGCTATGAAGTTTCAATTTCAGTTTCTCATTTTTTTCATTATTTCAATAATTATTTTTCTATTATAACTTAAAATTTGTAATAATATTTTAAGCTTTTAACTTAAATTTGTGGCTAGAAAATTGCAAAAGGAGTTCTGGTTTCTTTGTACTAATTTAGTTAGTTTATATTATATATTTATTTATTATTTAATTTTTTTTTTATTTATTTTTTAAAATTTGTTTACCATTTTTTAATAATATTTTAAACATATTTTGCTTATTTTATACCTAAATCTGGCACCGATGATTCAAGCAAACCAAACAAAGAGTCATTCAATCGCATGTGGGTGTTATTCATTGAGAAAGTTTTCAGCTTCGTTATGGATTTCTTTTCTTATTTATTTTTTGTATATTTGTTGTTTCTTTATTATTTATTTTGCATTTTTTTCTGCATTTTTCCATGCATTTTTACCTTTTGCGTGGGACCTACTGTAGGTCGCTGACTTGCCCACCCACACCAGAAGATGCCCAAGATGCAGATGCATGTGATGTGCAGCTGTAGATGCTGAGTATCTGGCAGATACTCAGACGGCATTATGCAATAGACTCACATACATATAGATATAGTATATAATCGCATGTGAGGGCTTGTTTGTTTGCTTGGAAATGTTTGTTTGCTCGTGTGAAAGTGAATCCCAGACTTTGGCGCTGACTCACCGATAAATCGTTTGATTTTTCTTCACTATAATTTTATATTATTATTATTTCTTCTTCTTAATTTGTTTGAGAAATTTCTTTCTTGAAAAAAATAAGGGGAAGAGTAGACAATTAACACCTTTACACCGTCAAGTGGCTTAATATGTCACATAACATACGTAGGGCTGACTTTGCCTCCATTTGGGGGCATCGGATCCGTTTTGGAGGGAAAGAGAGACATGTTCGAGTGAAGAAAGTTGGCGGAAGTACAGAGGGGCAGATAGATAGATGGATAGATAGTCGGATAGATAAGTTAGATAAATGCCGGGCTTAAATGGTCCGCTACTTGACTAATTGCAAGTGTCTCTTTGTTTTTTTTCCTACTTTTGATTTCTATTTTTAAGCTGCTTTCTTTTTTTTTTTTTTTGGTTATTTGGGAAAGTTCTTTTGGGGTCCCCTTGTACCAAGTGACCCATATAAAATATATATATTTTGTTTTTGTTGGAATATTGATGTTATTGAGCTTGAATTGGCCATGCTCGCACTTTTCACAAATGCCTTGTCATCGCTGGGGCTTATGGTGCTTTTTATTTTTGTATTTTGTATTTTTTTTTTTTGAGTGAATTGCTTGTCTTCGCATATTGTTACACATTTTGTTATTGTTTTGGTTGGTTTGCGAAATCAATTTACAAGACTGAGGGCATCGAATTAACCCTGGCAGTTGGGCAATATTGACAACTATCTACCATAATACTCGTGTCCGATCTGATTAGGCGCCAAGAGATCAGGTGGAACATACATAATACCGTTCGAGGTTTGTTTTTTCTTACTTGACTTGGTTTTAAATATTTACTGAAGTTTGTGATGAATGCTAAAAAAGCTATGAAATTAAATAATTAAGGCTTTAAAAATACTTGTTGAATAAAAATACATTAAAAAAGATTTTAAAAGTTTAATAAAGTAAAATGAAAATGATGTAGTTAGCCTATAGTTTGTATATTATATCCTTAAATGTATATTTCTTCTAAGAAATATTGCAATTAATAAATTTATTTGTATGTAAAACTTGATTTTGGAAATTTCCTCTTTAATATTCTAAACCTGCCACTTGAAATATATATAACTTAGATTTTCCTTTTTTATATTTCCTAAAATATTTGCTACCGCTTAGAAAATGAAATCAATAATCAGTTCAACTTGATTTTGACAATTTCACTTCTTAAAATTAATGCTTTCAGCTTTCTTTTCCTTATTGCTTTAGCTTTCAAGAGTTACTGGACTTTTTAATGAAAAAATTAATGTTTAAAAAATGTTTAAAAACCTAAAAAAATTAATTAGACATAAAATACTTAGGCCTCTTTATTTTTTTCGTTCCATTTTATAATTTTAAAATCCATGTTAATCTAAGAAATATTTAAATTTATTTTTAGAATTTGTAAAAATTAATTTCTTTGAAAGTTTTTCCATACAAAAATTAAACTAGGACATAAAAATTATTTTTAAAATATTATTAAAATCCCTAGACCTTAAAAAGTTAATTAAAAATAGTTTTAAAATCCCTAGACCTTTAAAAAACAAAAAAAAACCCTATAAATTATTCATTCCTCAACTCAATCAGATGTTTTTAATGACTCTCATCAAATGTCAACTCATCAATTTTTGGTTAGTCAGGCGATTTTTTGTGATGGCTTCTTGTGGATTTTCTTAGGCAAATTAGCAAAGCCAACCTTGAAACCAAAATCAATATAAATAATTATTGGCAACGAACAAAAAAAAATAGTAAAAAAAGAAATAAAAGGTAAAAAGAAACAGCATTATTTTGGCTAAAATAAGCTTGCATAATTTTTCAAGAAACGCGCAAAACAAAAAATACACACAAATTATAATAATAAAGAGCGACTAATGCGTTAATTATGCAACAACAACAACAATCGGATATATATATATTGGCAGACAGATCGAATTATATTTTATGGGCCACAGAGTCGTCGATTCCTTTTGGCAATTTCGTGTTTTTTGTTTCAGAGACGAGTCTTTAACTCGATTCGAGCGGTGTCATTAAAATATCATTTAGCTAATTTGACTTTAAGCATATAGTATACCCATACACTCGTAGCCTTGCCTCTGTCCGTGTTTACATACTAATAGGCATTGCCAGAAAATGAAAGTTTATCTCTGTGTGTAATGACCCGATGACAAGCCCACTTACACGCCAAAGTCCCCTTCCAAAAATGATTGTAATTAAATGATTTTAGCCCGAAATGGCCGACTTACAAATTGAAATGCAACAAATGGATAAAAGCGGTTGTGTTTTGTGGATATTTATTTATTAAATATTTTATTTATAAACTCATATATATTTTATTTTTATAAAAAGCTCTGTTTTACTTAAAATATAATATTTATTTAATTTAGCCTTTAAATAAGTTCCGTAAGCTATTTTCTTAGAAGGTTATTTCCATATTATTTGTATATTTATTTTTTAAATGCATTGCTAGGTCCTACACAGAAACAATTAGTGCAGTAAATCCAACCAATTTTACAGTCCAAGTGCCCAACCCAAAATCATGGGTGAATTTTACTGTAAACTACAGTATAACGACGTAACCGTATTATGCTTGCTCTACAGTAAATCCAACCACGATTCTGCAGTAAAAAGGCCCAACCTACGAAAATGGTGAAATACAGTATTTAACAGTTTCACTGTAAAAAAACTGCAGGTTGACTCGCGTTTACAGTATACAGTACCTTTAAAAAGAAAAGATTTTCCTATATAAATCTGTATATATCTATCTCTCTATCTGTCTTTCTTTGACCTACGTAAAACGAACAGTATCTTGACTGCAGCTTACAGTAATTTAGTAAATTCAACCTACGAACATTTTTTCTGTGTAGGATACTTACAAATTACAGAAAAACTGCTGACTCTCATTTACCAACCACCCAATTTTCTTTATCTTTCTTATTTTCTCTGGTTTTAATGACCCAAAAAAAAACGTATTAAAAAACAAAAGTATCCATTTTTACTGCCCCCAATTAAACAAAACGATTTTTATGCAAATAAAGAAACAAAGAAGAGACTTTAAGTCACAAAATGACCAACATAAAACAGCTGGGAAAAAATGTTTAGGAAAAACAAAACAAAATTCCAGAAATACAAAGAAGAAAAAATATATCAGGGATATTTAGTAAATTTTCATAATTTCAAATTAGAAATTAAAAAAAATTTATATTTTTTAGGATAATGTGAAAAGGGAATAATTAAAAAAAAACAAAAGAGGATTTTTGTGATTTGTTGTATATTTTTTAAATGTTTATGAGATTAATTAAATTATTTACCATTCTTGTGAATATTATTTATTTATTTAATATCAATATTAGTACCAATTCTTACCATTTCTATATATATATATTCTTAAATATTTATATATATATTTAGTCACTAAATTAATTAAGGAGTTAGGAGTTAGAAAACCTAAATATAATCGCCTTTAGTGTCTATTCTTCAGTTCACAGGTTAAATAAAAATCCTTTAATATCCTTGAAAATCTTTAAAAAATATTTCTAGGAAATACCTTGCACTCCCTTTTTAGTTTTTAATTTTTTATTCAAGTTTCTTTGAAACCCTGACCATTTCTATTGGCTTGCAAAGGGCAAAATACGAAAATGTACGTGACCTGGCTGCAGATTTATGCTCCATCTCCTTTAGGGATTTACATAGTTTCATGAACTGAAAACGAGAGTGCAATACACAACAATTAAGAAACAAAAGCAACGAGCAAGATTGTGTGGCGCTCAAGGGGCGTTAGCTGCATTTTAATTTCAATTTGCATTCAGGGCCAAAAGAAAGTCGAAGTGGGCTTATTAAAATATCCAATTATTGCAAAATTGAAGCTCGTTCAGGGCATGGACTGAATGGAAGTCGGGAGTCTGAAACAAAAAAAAAACAACTGAAAACTGAAAACAAAAACCCAAAAACCAAACCAAACGAAACGAAAGTGAAATGTTTCCACTTGGCTCACGTACGAGTGTGAATTTATGCAAAAAGAAAGGAGGCGGGGGCTATACATATTTACAATTACATGTATATATTTATATATATATAAATATATATATATCGGGACTATTTTTGGGGTGTGAGAACACACCTAACACAAGCCACAAAAAGCCATTGAAGACCAATGAAAGTTGCAGCCCAAAAGCGCATACAGTGCGTTTCGGTAGTGTCAGGTGGTAGGCCTACAAATTTAAAATTGGCTTAAAAAGTTAAGAGAGGTTCTTGAAATGCTTAATATATTTTTTAGAATTTTTTATTTATAAATAATATAGTTTTTACTTGGCTTAAGCACTTGTAATTTAAATAAAATGTAAAAAATCTAGTTTAGAGTTAAAAAAATTAATCTATAAATTAAAAAAATATCCTTTTCTTGATATTAGTTATTACTGTATAATTATTTTAGAAATTATTTCAAGACTTTAACAATATTTTTTATGCTTGTATTTAATTTATTTGTAGTTCGTTTTTATTAAACTTTTAAATATTTCTCATAAACTTGTAAGCAAAGGCCAAAAATTCATTCCCATGATTATGCCAAACAGCCCAAAAAAAAAGGGAGAAAAAAAATAAAACCAAAAACCCATCGATCGGCATCGAAGAAACGCACTTTCTGTGCGTCTGAAACAAAGTCTTACGTAACTTATGGCCAGTGTGACGTATTAATTGGGTTTTTTTCTGGGCTGTTTTTATATATATATATATATATTTTTTTTTTTGTGGGAACCACTGACTTTAGCTCCTTTGAAGACCAGATCAAAAGCTAGCGATTGCCAATCCCCTCCTTCCCTTATACGACAAGTGACCTGCTTTCTCTTTCGCGGCACTCGAGAAATTTTTAAAGATCTTTTTTTTTTGGGATGCTTTTCTTGTTTTTTCTTCTCTGTGATTTTTGTTTATAGTTTTTTTTCTTAGTTGGTAGTTCTGTCAGAGGTCAGGGCCCCAACTCACATAGCACATAGCTCGTGTTTATTACATTCGATGGCTTTGAACTCCATATCTCGCGACAAATGAGCCCCGTTTAGTTGACGCTTAATGGCAATTATTAGTGTACCAGTTTACCAGTTTTACATTTGTTTATGTCTCTCTCTCTCGTGTTATGTTTGGTTATTATGAGCCATATATTAAATAACCGACCGCCACCTGAGGCGATCCCAGCTCCATCGACATCGCCATCTCCATTACCATTTCCATCTGAATCTGGACACCTGTTGGCGAGCTCAGGTTGCCTTGGCGGCTTATGCAAGTGCAATGAGCTGATGCAGTTGAGAAAATAAAGAAATAATAGAAACCAGGCATATCGGATACCCTATAATCTTACCTTTTTGAAGCTATAAAGAAAATATTATAAAGAAAATATATAGAAAACGGGAATTTATTAAAAAAAACATTTTAAATTATTTTTTTTAGTTTTTAATTAGCTAATTAACTAAAAATGGGTCACTTACCATTATCTATCTCGCTCTTACGCGCACTTGCTTGGGTGTCCAGGGTTCGTGTCATGGGTTTGTGTCCTAGGCTCGTGTCTTAGGATGAGTTTTAAATTTTTTTAAGAAGGTTTTAAACTTTAGGACGTTTATATTAAAGGAAAATAGTTCTCCTTTATTTGTTTTGTTAAATATTTGATAAATATAAATTTTATAAATATTTATTTATTTTATTATCCTAGTTAAATCGTATATATAAGATATTTCTTAATCGAACTATTTTTATTATTATTACTTAAACATATTATTTATTTTTTATTTTTTTTGGCCTAGAAATATTATATTTAATTAAAAATTATACAATTTTATACAAGAATATTAATAAAAAAAAAAAAAAAAAATGTAATAGGTTAAATAATTAAAAAAAATAAAATATATACCACATTTTAATTTTACAAAAATTAAAAAATAGATTAGATTTTAATTTTGCAAAAATTAAAAAAAATATATTAGATTTTATTTTACAATTACAAGAATTTAAAAAAAAAATTAAAAAATATATTATATTTTAATTTAGAATTAAAAGAATAAAAAAAAAATTTTAAATATATAAGATTTTAATTAAAATTGTTTAAAATAATATATAACGTTGTTAAAAACTTAGTTTAAAAATGTAAAAAAACTTAATATATATTCAAGTAATTTATTTTTTAAACTAATCGGTGGCTCTGTTCATACCCCTTAATTATGATATTTATTTTTTTTTTTAAATCAAATTAAATGCATTTCAATTTCTATACCTGAATTTCCAGCGAAACACATTGATTTAATTAGTGTAAAATAAATAACACCAAATTATGAGCAATTAATAACCAACCAACCGATCAGTTAAAATTGTTTTCTTGGGAAACAAGTTAATGCAAACTAATTCCCTTGTGTCAGCGATCCAATATATAAACCTATATATATAGCCAGCTATCCCGCGGCTTTAAAACCAATTAATTTGATACATTTTTTTTGTTGTGCTATTATTTTTATTAAATTTTTTAATTTATGTTTTTGATGCCATTAAATCATGAAAAATTTGACAACTCACTGTGGAAACTTTAGTCGACGACGATTTAGTCCCCGCGGGAAATTCGAAAAGTCTCGTTAATCAGGCTGACTAACGGAAGAGCAACACCCCCCCGTCAACCCCTCTCTAAAACAAGTTCATCGTATCGAGCGAAATATTTCGAATTTTGCTTGGTGCCAGGTTTTCACTTTACTACCATTTTTCACACAAATTAGCCAAGTGCGTAATTTTCAATTGAAATCGTTGTGCGTCTTTCGGATCAATGAAGAACTGAGAGATGGCTCTGTTCTGTGTTTGTCTTTGATTATTTCTCTAGCATCCGAGCTAATGAGTTTGGCAAGCTGGCTCGGTTTCGTTTAACAAGTATTTCGCGTTGTCCAAATTGCTGGCCGGCAATTAGCTGGCAATTTGTAACAGCAATTCTCCGGCAATATATACGTATACATATATATCTCTGTCTTGCTATGTGGCTCAAGTGTTTTATCAAGGTTTTTTTTGTTAAGGGGAGGGGGGAAAGGGGAAGGTTGAAACAAAGACGGTTTGGGCCAGGGTGAGCCAAAGAAGATGCCCTCGATTTATTAGCCATGCCACAAGATGGCTTATTGTAACCAAAACCACTTATTTAGGTCTTTAAAATGGTTGTGCAGGTGTGAAACAACAAATTAGTGATGTATTTTTTAAATAAAAGCAAGGAAATTTGTATTTGTTTTTGGGGTCAAGTTTATTTTACTAAGCTGTAATTACAAGTTGAGTTTCTATTTTCAAGTAAAATATTTTATTATTAAATAATAAATACATTTAAAAAGGAAATAAAACCAGAATATATTTTATTTTAGAGAAATATTTGATTTTGATGGGAAAATATTTCTTATAAAATAGTTTTACAGCAAACTAAACTTAATTTTTGCGATAAAGAAAATATGTAGAAACAGACATATACCTACTTATTTGATTAGTTTGTTAATTAGGTGATTCATTAAAAATATAATCTAACTCGCTCTCGCACTTGCTTGGGTTGGCTGGCTTCGTGTCATGGGTTTGTGTCCTGGGTTGAGTTTTACATTTTTTTAAGAAGACTTTTAAACGTTAGCATGTTTATTTTAAAGGGAAATAACTCGCTTTTATTGTTAAATATTAATTAAAAAAATATATTACATTTATTAATAAGAATTTGCAATATTTAAAAATATATATTTGATTTTCAGAACTACTTGGAAAAGGACATGGGCAAGGTCGTCCTCTACTCCACCAGCATGGGCATCATCAGGGAAACGTATGCCAAGTGTGCCAATGTCAAGCAGATTCTGCGCACCCTGCTGATCAAGTTCGAGGAGCGGGATGTCTTCATGAGCCTGGAGTATCAGCAGGAGATGCGGGAAAGGATGCACGACGAGGCCATCAGTGTGCCCCAGCTATTCGTAGAAGGCCAGCACATTGGGGTGAGTTCTATTAACTTCATTTCAAATGAAAAATCCTAATAAATTCTGCAAAAATCTATAACAGGATGCCGATACTGTGGAGAGGTTGAACGAGAGCGGGGAACTGCGACAAATGCTGAAACCATACAAGGTAAAAAGGGAATATAAGTATGAAATAATAAATATAAAAAAGGAAAACATAATAAAAGCAATAAATATAAATAGAATAATAATTAAAATAAATATAATAATTAAAAAAAAAAATATATATATATAATAAATAAAATATAATAATAAAATAAAGTAATAAAATATGAAATAAAAATAAATAATAATTACAAAAATATTAAATATAAATATATAAAAATAAATATATAAATATTATATTTATTTATATAAATAAACAATAAAATATATAAATATTTAATTTTATATTTAAATATATTTTAATATATATTTTTATTTATTTTCCAGTCCATTGCCACAGCTTATACGTGCCAGATGTGCGGTGGATATCGCCTGCTGCCCTGTCCCTCGTGCAGCGGCTCCAAGAAATCCGTGCATCGCAATCATTTCACCGCCGAGTTCGTGGCCCTCAAGTGCATGAATTGCGATGAGGTGGGCCTGGTCAAGTGTCCCAACTGCTGAAGGAAGGCATAGAGTGCACCCGAAGGAGGAGGTTAATTATTAGTCCCCGCAAAACAACCCCCCGTAATATGTACTATATCTATCTTTATTTTTTTTTTTGGTATCTGCTTTGAGATGAGGAGTTCTTTTTTTTTGTGCGCAATTCTTGTAGTCGCTTATTATTAACAGTTGTGATATTTGAGAGCAGTTTTTGTGGGGCCGGAAGTGATTGGCCGAAATGGAATGGAACGGAAGACACACACACACACAAACAAACGAAAAAGCCTATATATGTGAAACGAAGAGATAATCGAATAAAATATGAAATGTATATTGATTGTTTTATTTATTTTTGTTTAGAAAGTGTTATTTTCTTTATTTATTTAAGTGTTTTTTGTTTGTTCTTTTTAAAGGGTGTAAAAAATTAAGTTAAGTATAATTGGTTTTCATTTTTTTGTACTTGGCTTTTGTTATTTTATATAAAATATATATAAAATAATAAAAAACTTTTTTTAAATATTTCATTTCAAAAAGAACTGCCAGTACACGCCACCTGTCGGTATTTTTCTCAAACATAACGAAGCAGTGCAAGCAGTTTTACGAATTGCCAAGTTTCCATAAAATACCGACAGGGGACGCTTGCTGGCGGTTATTTTTAAATACTTGTACTTCAAATCGAGCGATAACAGAAAAATTATTTGGTATTTAGAAATTTAGTTTAAATATAATTTTAAAAATGAATTAATTTCTAAGCGCAATACATATTTCTTAAATTTATAACAATATATTTAGAAGAAAGATTTATTTGTGGTGGTTATTCTAATTTCAATCAGAAGTTTGTGATTTTTAAATGCTTTAAAATTTTATTTTCAGTAAGGAAATTATTAAATAGCCAACCAACTAAAAAATTTAAGTTTTGATTTACCCAAATATATAGTGCTAAAAATTGATACATATTTATTTTAATATTGCAAATATTGCAGATTACCTTTAACTCTTTTTCCTTTTTTAGTTTTATTAATTTTATAATAGATACATTTTGCCTTCTAACATTTTTTGAATATTATTTTCTTCAAATCAGTAGGGCATTGATTTTTATATTATTTTCTACAGACCAGTTGGTCTTCCTAAAAAACCAATATTATTTTCTACGGATCAGCAAGGCCTTGATATATCTGTCCTTACCCAGCTTTTTGGGCTTGACATTCAGTATCGATTTTACATGCTGTACGGTTTAAAGTGAGTCTTTTGTGAGTGTGTAATAGTTATTCCATCAAAAAATCGTAAAGACACCTGAATTTCCAGGGCATCGTCGCATAACGAATCCGTAATAAATCGAATCTAAGTCCGCCAATCGCATAGGATTGGGATTTTCTTATCGGTCGTGACACCTGCCTCGCAATGGAGGCGATCCTCAGATTCAACCAGCAGCAACAGCAGCAGGCAGAGGTGGACGAGGAGGATGCCACCACCAGCGATAACGAGGAGGGCTTGCCCCTTGAGATATTAAACCGCTCGGAGACCCGCGGCAGTGGCGGCTCCGAGGGCCCAGAGCCGGAGTCGGGTCGCTCCTGTTGGATTTGCTTTGCCACCGACGAGGACAATCGACTGGCCGTGTGGCTGCAGCCGTGCAAGTGCCGCGGCACCACCAAGTGGGTGCACCAGAGCTGCCTGCATCGCTGGATCGACGAGAAGCAGAATGGCAACCATCGCCGCGTCGTTGTCTGCCAGCAGTGCCAGACGGAGTACATCATACAGTTTCCGAAAATGAACAAGTTGGCCACTGCCCTGGAGTGCATAGATTATGCAGTGCGTCGGGTGTGTCCCTTCGTGACCGCTGGAGTATTTTTTGGCTGCGTTTATTGGACGGCGCTTACCTATGGGGCTTTTACCGTTGTGCAGGTATGATATCTACATATATGGGGGGAAATTTGTATACATACAAGTATATCATAGGAATTTCGAATTTTAAAACCGCTTCTGGTGCCCAGACGTTTTTTTATTGGTGTACTCATAAACTTATAGATATATTTCTAAGATATATTTACTCAATATTTAATCGAAACATTACCTTGTCTCTCCCTCTCTACAATCCAGATTATAGGGCAGAAACGTGGCATTGAGCTCATTGAGGACTGGTGTCCCTATGTGTTTATCATACTGCCGGCCATACCCACAGGCCTGATCTTATCCCGTCTCATCCGCTGGGAGAACATCGTGCTGCGGGTCATGCGAAGCAAGTACAATATTCTACGGAAGCTGCCCTTGTTGCACTGGCTCGGCGAACCGGAAGTGGAGACCGGAGGTGGAGACGACAACACCGAAGATCTGCCACCCGTCCAGGTTGATCCCTTCTCGGATCCCCTTAACATCTATCGCCTTTTCTGCGGGGCCATGCTCCTGCCCACCATTGCCACGGTGGTGGGAGGCCTACTCTTCCAGCGATACGAGGATCCGCTGCAACGTACCCTCCTGGGCGGGGTCACCTATATTGTGGTGAAGGGCCTGCTGAAGATCTACCTCCGCCAGAAGCTCTACATACGGAGCCGGCGGCGTCGCATCCTCGACTATACCGATGAGAATGTGCGCCTTCATATGGGCGGTGAAATCCGAGAGGCTCCGGCCCAGGACCAAAACCGCAATCCGCGAGTAACCGCTGGCTATGTTGAGCACTACGAGCCGGATGATAACTTTGCTGACTTTGAAACGGACAATGCCAGGCCACCGCCCGAGGAGAATCGAACAGGAACCAGGACTCAACCGAACCAAGACTATTACAGTGTGGCAATTGCCCCAGAAGAGGGTTGGTCTCCTGTGGACTAGTCTCGGCCATCAGATCGGAGGGGAGGTGGGGGGATCATCAAACCAACAAGACTAAATTCAACGAAATGCGATAATAATACCAAAGGAAGCCTATATATATATATATTTGGATACAAATCATGGATACAACATTAAGTTTATTGCTCATTTGCTGAAGGAGTAACGGACATTGATTTACCTTTAAATCAAATTTCTACAATTTAGAAAAAATGTTGGAATAGGAATACAGGGACTAGGGGATTTCCTAAAATAACCTGCTTAAAGAATCTAATAAATTACTTGTTTTTTGCTATGTTCATTTCTAAATTTCAACAAAAGAAACATACAAATAAAATGCTTGGAACAAATTTTTAAAAATTCAATTATAATTATATAGTATCGGTATAAAATAATAGAAACGTTGCGAGGAAAATAAGTATAGAGGGTATTATAATGTAAATTTATAAAGTTCTTTAGACTCGAGTAAATGTATTAAAATTGTTAGAAGATATTCGGTAATTTATATGTAATTTATTTGTTTTTATTTCCAATAATATTGGTTCCATAAAATATCGTTTAATATATCGATTTTTAAAGAGTTGGCTGAGAACTATTTTTATACCCTTGCAGGGTATTATAATTTCAGTCAGAAGTTTGCAACGCAGTGAAGGAGACGTTTCCGACCCTATAAAGTATATATATTCTTGATCAGCATCAACAGCCGCGTCGATCTAGCCATGTCCGTCTGTCCGTCTGTCCGTCTGTCTGTCTGTCCGTCTGTCCGTCTGTCTGTTTCTACGCAAACTAGTCCCTCAGTTTTAAAGCTATCTGAATGAAACTTTGCATATAGTCTTCTATATACTCTCACTGCTATATATGTCGGAACGGGCCGGATCGGGCGACTATATCATATAGCTGCCATACAAATGTTCGATAAATTTTTAGAAAAAAAATTATTACTTGGCTGTTTTTCAACATATTTGCACTATTTTTTACATATGACCATCTTATATTATTTCTGAACTTTGGTACAAATTTTATGAAAATCGGACGACTATATGATATAGCTGCCATAGGAACGATCGGGAAATTAATAGGAATAAAATTATAGCTTCGTTGTTTTTCAACGTATTTTTATCTACTTTGAGATATAAGCTTTTTTTATTATTCTAGAATTTTGGTATAAATTTCATAAGAATCGGACAACTATATCTTATAGCTGCCATAGAAGCGATCGGTAAATTTATAAAATATATAAAGCTGGGAATGTAAAACTGTAATTGTCAAACTGTAAACATAATAAGTATAGGTAAAATGTAATGAAACTCTGTTTTGTGTCTGTTTTCGGCATTATAATTTATAATATAAATCTAAAAACCAATCTGCAAGGGTATACAAACTTCGGCGTGCCGAAGTTAGCTTCCTTTCTTGTTTTTTTATGTTTTTAAATTTTAAATACACGTTTTCTGTGCAAATATAAATTAAAAGTACTCTTCTATACACAGTTAACCATCTATTTTAACTGCTAAAAAATTATTTAAATATTAAATTTAAGAGCTTTTATTATTTTTTGGAATTGTGAACAATGTAATTAGTGCCTCAAGGCACTTTTGGGGCCTGGAGGGTTGAAGACGTATGTATAACTTCTTAATTCTTTTGGCTTTAACCAATTTCTTAGGCACTAGTTCATTTAAATGTTCATTTGGTTGTTTCCTCAGTGTTCATTCAAATGTTCATTTTGTTGCTTCCTCAGTGTTCATTTAAATGTTCATTTGATTGTTTCCTCAGTGTTCATTTAAATGTTCATTTGGTTGTTTCCTTAGTGTTCATTGAAATGTGCACTAGTAGGCCTTGACTTTGCCGTTGAGTCTTCGAATTTGTCAGTCCTGGGCGTGGGAGGCATTATCACACAGCTCGTTCAACGTTTCGGTCGACACATTCTCGTAAGTCAAGCTGAGACATCTCTCGTTTGTAAATTTCAAAAGTCTAAAGTAAATCATTACAAAATTACCTCACTTTTGGGGCGTATTTATTATTTTCGTTTCTATAAATTGATTATTTGCGCTGTTTTTGGAACCTAGCCCCCACAAAATTCTCAATCAGTGCGAAGAGCCATCGACAAACAAGGAGGAGATCTCACAAGAAGCTGATTTCATCAACGGCTAAAAAGTATTCTGCAAAAATACAACTTTTTGAAATTCTAATTTTTTGAATTATCAAAATTCTCAAGCCTTAAGCCAGCTCTAAATCCGCAAGGAGGATTACCCTTTCAGGATGTCGGACAACAGAAAGTTTATGATGTGCGCCTACAATGGGTTGCTCTGCGCAGCCACTGGCTTTGGCTTGATCAAGATCGGACCCTCTGAACATCCGTATGCCTTCGCCGCCTGCGTCATTGGGTTCGCCCGTGGCGTCATTAATCTGGTTACCACCTTGGTTAATGAAGATGATGAAACCTTGAGGGAATTGTCTTGGATAGTGGGCCACGTCATGGATGTGGTGCCCCTGCCACTGATCAATGTGAGTCTCTATCTGAAGGCGGAAAGCAATAATATTGCCTTGGCCCATGGGTTGTTCCTGCTTCCGCTGGGCGTGACCTGGCTTTTGAGGAAGCTGAGGAACGAGGGTGATTTCGAGGAGTTTGGCACTGTGCCGACCCTGAAGATCCTCACCATTTTGGGTAATATCACCTCGCTGGTCTTCCTGGCGATCAACGACAGCAGCTGGATTCTGGGCGGCATGGCCGCCCTCGCCTTCATGACCGAGATCGGGGCCAACTACTGCAATGATCATCTTATCTATGACAGCGCCATGCCCATTTGCTATTTCAGCTGGTCGGCATTCTATATCCTTGCCGCCCTGGTCGTAACGGGAGAGAAGTAATGTGGCTAGTTTCCGAGTTCCTGGTCAATCTGAAAGCTCATTTTCGAGTACCAAATCCGCCTGATTTTCAATTATTCCAACCCCTGAAGGGCCTTGGAGAGAGTTTTGAATACATTATTTTCGGAACCACCAAATGATGTCAAATTTTATGTGTTTATATTTACGCACAACAAAAAATAAAAAAGGACCAACCAAATAAAATTTTAATTTGTATTTTTTCCACAAATTTGTAGGTTTCATTTAAGCAATCTTTATGAGCTTGAATATTTATTATGAATTTATTAACTTTAAACTTTAATTTTTAATTATATTACATTTTCACATTTCAAAGGAAATTTAAATAATGAATTTTATAAGAATGAATAAATGAATAAATGATGACTATAGTGAAATTTCTATAATATGAATCGAAATTTAATCGAAAGAATATAGTTATTATACAGTACAGTAATTATCTTATATGGAATTTTAAACTTGATCTAATATACCTTCATATATTTTATCCTGATATTAATTCCCCCTAAATTATAAGTGTCAGATTATAGTGGCATCCACTGCCATACCGGATCCAGAGGCAGTGTCAAACCAAAAGCATTTCCAAAATATCCAAAAACAAGAAAGGAAGCTAACTTCGGCACGCCGAAGTTTGTATACCCTTGCAGATTGGTTTTCATATTTATATTATAAATTATAATGCCGAAAACAGACACTAAACGGAGTTTCATAACATTTTACCTATACTTAATATGTTTACAGTTTGACAGTTACAGTTATACATTCCCAGCTTTACATTTTCTCTACATCTACGGATCACTTATATGGCAGCTATATTATATAGTTCTCCGATTTTCATAATATTGTTACCAAAATTCTGAAATAATACTAAAAGCTCATGTCTCAAAGTAGATGAAAATACGTTGAAAAACAACGAAGTTATAATTTTTTCTATCACTTTCCCTATCGTTCCTATGGCAGCTATAAGATATAGTCGTCCGATTTTCATTAAATTTATACCAAAATTTTGAAATAATACCAGAAGCTCATGTCTCAAAGTAGATGAAAATACGTTGAAAAAGAACGAAGTTATAATTTTTTCTATTACCTTCCCTATCGTTCCTATGGCAGCTATAAGATATAGTGGTCCGATTTTCATAAAATTTTTACCAAAATTCAAAAGTAATATATAATGGCCATGTCTTAAAAATTGTGCAAAAATGTTAAAAAACATCCAAGTTATAATTTTTTTTCTAAAAATTTATCGAACATTTGTATGACAGCTATATGATATAGTCGTCCGATCCGGCCCGTTCCGACATATATAGCAGTGAGAGTATATAGAAGACTATATGTAAAGTTTCATTCAGATAGCTTTAAAACTGAGGGACTAGTTTGCGTAGAAACGGACAGACGGACAGACGGACAGACGGACGGACAGACGGACGGACAGACGGACATGGCTAGATCGACTCGGCTGGTGATGCTGATCAATAATATATATACTTTATAGGGTCGGAAACGTCTCCTTCACTGCGTTGCAAACTTCTGACTGAAATTATAATACCCTGCAAGGGTATAAAAAAACCCAAGAACTCACGTCCCCACTTGACTGTGACAGGCAATACGTCCGATTTCCTTTTGCCATAATTTTTGGCACTTTATGTCCCTGCAGATAAGACATGCCTTTATTTTCTGTATTTTTTTCGGTTTGTATTATTTTTTTCTCTCTTTTGATTTTTTTGGGCTGGCATTTCAAGTGTTTAGCGTTAAACGCTTCCTTACATTGATATGCGCTAGTGCTCGCCGGTTTTTGGTGTTATTATCCTTTTTGGAAAACGTTTCACGTCGGAGATCGGAGCAGCCCCTGCCCCGACCCCGACCCCGATCCCGATCCCGACTCGAATATCAGGTCTCTCTCGGTATCTCCTTCTCCCTTCTCCTACTCTTTTTTCGGGGACGTAAAAAAATCGATGAGACGCTCTCATCAGTAGGGGGTCGTGGCTGCTGATTGGATATTTTCCTTTTCGTAAGTGCATTCAAGTATCACAACTAAGTAATTGTCTGTGTGTCCGTCCTCTGACTTAGATTCTAAGTTGAACTCTTAGGAAATACAGTGGATTATCGAATGCGAGAATAAAAAGTATTAGGTCAAGAAATAAAAATGAACAGTGAATTTATAGATTTTTTTCTTAGGAAATATAATTAAAAAACCATGTATATGTATTTTAAATAATTAAATAATTTGCCTCGTTTGCTCAATTTTTCACTTAAATTTTACTCGGTTGTTCAGTGTTCATTTAAATGTTTATTTGGTTGTTTCCTCAGTGTTCATTTAAATGTTCATTTGATTGTTTCCTCAGTGTTCATTTAAATGTTCCCTCAGTGTTCTCTCAGCGTTCATTCGGTGTTTACTTGGCTGTTCGATTGGGTATTCATTCAGTTGTTCTTTTCATTTTTCTATCAGTTAGTCATTCAGGTGCTTACTCAGTGTTTATTCAATTGTTTATTTAGTTTTATTTATTTTAAAATATTTTTTTAATTTATTTATTTCCAATATAAAATAGCAAGCCTTGAGTTTTATAATTTACTTGCATAATTTTAAAAAATATCAACTTCTATACAAAAAGAAAAGCTAATCTCTATATTTTTTCCTATTTTCTTTGACGTTCGCTCTACGGGTCTTCCACTGTACCCCATCGATTATGTTAATACAAAACTAACCCCCGATCGGTCGTTGTCTTAGTTCTGTTTTCCCCGTGCCCGTTACCGTAACCCAATGACCAAAGATTTTCATAATCTCCGAGCGGTTGTCAACGGTTCTCCCAACTCGACATTATCGCCGGACTGTCCCCCCCCCACACACACACACACAGAAAAACACTCCCCAGAAGATCCAGTTCTCGGTTCACACGTTACCCATGGAAAATTTCGGAGCTGCGCTCAGTAATTATGCATGTTGATCAGTTTTTCCCCCCCATTCCCATCGTTTACATATAAATTTGTGGATTTTTCCCAGTCTCGGGTTATACATAGGGTTACGGGTTCCAAATAGCCCGATTTACATGTGTAATGGCTATGCCACAACGTACACACATCGTTTTCATTTCATTTTCATGCTTCATGTTCATCCTTGTGTCGTAGGGTCGTTGTGGGGGGGCCCCCTTTTGATTGGACATTTTCATTTGGAGGCCATCGAAGGCGGGTGTAATGAGTTTCAATGAGCTCTCAGGGAATACTTTTTTTTTAAGAATTTTAATTTGTGAAATTTCAAGACTTTAGTGAGAGCAAGGAGACCATTTATAAAATTGTCTATACCATTTAAAATGAAATTTAAAAGATAAGAAGAAGAGATATAGAATGTCCTATTCCTTGTTAATAAATATATATTTTTCAGAGCCAGTATAATGATTTATGATTAGGGTTCTACAGTAAAGGACATAGAGTAAATATATTAAACCAAAGAGAATAAATCAAATGGATATTCGTTAAAATCTCTCCACAAAAGATCCATCAACGAAAGTCAAAATAAATCTTAAAAATAATACCTAAATCGAAAGGGAAATTCCAGCTATCCGCAAATCCCATCTAATCATTGTTTTGCTGATTTTGTCAGCATTTTTCCCCGAGAAAAAATCACATTCCCCAAGTCGTAAAATTTTGTACCTACCCGTAAAGCCGAGATCACAGCCCGCACAAAAACTTTGCCATAAATAAATGCATACATATAGTACTATATAAGTACAGGGCGATCGTAAAGATCAAATCGCCTGTGACTTCTCAATGACTTTCGGGCCATATTGTCGAAGGCATAAACAATTGCGATGGCAATTGGATGCCCTGTAAGTGGATACTTGCCGCGCCACTCGAAGATGTCATTTGTTTGCAATAAATAAGGCAGGGCCCAGGGAAAAAGGATCTGCACCCACTCCAATTTCCCGGAGTTTGAATATAAAGCAATTAAAAGTGTGTGTTCTCAATGCGAGTGCACAGTGAGAAAAATGAAATAACTACAAATGTAGTGTACAAATGTGTACAAATGCATATTCCTGCAGTAAATCCAACCAATTTCACAGTTAAAGTGGGTTGATTTTACTGTAAATAATAGTATAACGTTACGTCTTATGACTGCTCTACAGTAAATCCAACCACGATTCTGCCGTGAAAATTGTAAAATGCTGTATTTTACAGTTTGACTGTGTAGTAAGTGCAAAAAACTTGCTTGTGAAATTTATTTTTTAATTTATTCAAGCAATTTTTTACCAAATTTGTAAAAAGATTATTCAGACTGATAATAACTCTTTTATTTTTGTCATTAGAAACCCTTTAATTAACTTTTGAAAGCATAAATTCCATAACGATTTCTCATTAACAAAGTAATTTAAATAATAATCGTCTTTTTCCTCACTGTACACAACCACTTGTAGGCGTGTCAGCAGGAGCAACACTTAAAAAAACAGGAGGCCCAGTTATTGCCAACACATGGAAGAGATTCCAGTGCATACATATGTCCTCCTAAATTCCACCGTCTCGTAGGGAGGATAACCCGCTTCCTCCTCTGCCTGTGCCAAAGTTCAATAACATTTCTGCAGTAATTTGCATTCATGCCAAGCGAAATCTGTTTTTTTTTTTTTGTAGTGCGGAACAGGCGCGACTTCCTTCCGCAGGAGAGAGACCAGTCCAGCAGTCGACTTCCTCTTTATGGAAAAGGGAAAAACCGAGGCACTCCCTTAACCCCCCTCGCAAGCATCAGAGCTAAATAGCTTTCGTACGCAGATCAGAGGCAACTGAAGTGCTCTGTTTTCGCCTCAGATCGCTGGGGATTGAGTCCGTAGCTTTATCAGCCTCAAAACACTGCGAAAAAATGGTCATATAAAAATATTAATAATATTATTTATCTATTTTTTAAGTGTGCTTATGTAAAATGCCATTCATGTAGCTATAAAATATTATAAAAATCATTACATAATATTAAATAGATTAGGACAACAGTTTGTTGTGCATTAAATGCTACCTTTAAATACTTTTGAAATGATCTAAAATATTAATTAGAAGCAAATTAAAATGAAAAAATTGCATTTAATAAAAAAAAAACTATTGCCGATTTTCGATGCTTGCTTTGCCTTCGCATCGAAGCTTGGGATTCCCAACGGGTCTAAGCTTGGATCAAATGTAAAGTACCAAGAAAATTAGAAATAATAAGCAAG